CCGTCCCATATAGATTGCAAAATAGTTGGGAAGAGATCTTTGACGTACCGATCCCATGGCATAGTGTTTATGAACTGACACGCAAAACGACACCGGATTCAAAAATTCGAATCTTTCAATTTAAATTATCATGTAAAATTCTTGCTACCAATGTAATGTTATTTATATGGGGGATACAATCTTCCCAGCTCTGCAGATTTTGCTGTGAAGAGACAGAATCATTAGATCATTTGTTTTGGTTCTGTCCATTTGTAGCTTGTTTTTGGACACAGGTCCAGGAATGGCTAAAGGATTGCAATATTTACCTGGAGCTAACCTTGCAGATAGCATTACTGGGTGATCTGAAAAGTCATAGTCAATCAATCAATAATATAATAATACTTTTAGCAAAAATGTTTATTTTTAATTCACAATCTGTAGAAGCAATGAGAATAGAAGGGTTCAGAACTTTTGTAAAACATCACAGTACGGTTGAAATATATATGGCAAATAGAAATCCTATATGGATGGTGTTAAGAGATAGATGGGAGGTATTGAATAGAGTTGAAGGATGGGACTAATAACAAATAACAACAAATAATAACAAAGATAGCTAATAATGTAAGCATACTGTGTCCATAATAAGTATATAGGTTGTATGTTGGAAGCTTTTGGGAAAGAGCACAGTTAGAAAGATATGGCATATAGAAGCAAACCGGATGGACATCATGAAAATGATCGGAGAGGTTGAGAGTAGAAGAAGTTCAGGAGCAAAATAAATAAATTATATATATATATATATATATATATATATATAATATATAATTATTGTAAAATTAACTCTGTCCATAAGGTGTAGATAGTAAGTATAGACCGGAGGTGGAGGCCTGGGCGTTGTTGTTCACTAGTTTGCTCCAGGTAGGGAAAGGATGGCGGGGTAATAAAGGGGAGTATATACATATAAAAAACATGGGGGATTGGAAGTGATGCAGACAATTACATTGATAGAAGATACAATCTATCTGCAATATTAAGCTGATCTACCCCCCCCATAAAAAAATAAATTAAAATAAAAAAAGATTTAAAAAATAAAATAAAAATACAAAATAAAGAAAAATAAGTAAAAATGTATCTGTAGGGAACACAATATATGGTCTGTACTTGGCATGTAGGTTTCTCACTTATCGGTGGCACAAACTGCGACATGGGGGAGGGGAATGGGCAGGGTATATGCAAATTAAACACTGTAGTATTTGCTATAGTTAAAAAAGTGCAGTGTTTTTGCAGACCTTATTGTAGTATTTACTACAGTGGTTTTTCTCTCCAGAGAATACTGTAGTGTTTACTATAGTAGTCTACAGTATACTACAACATTCTATAGTAAGTACTACACTACACATGATCGAGGGATCCTACAGTGTGTTGTATAGTATTCTACAGTATACTACAGTTTATGATAGAATTCTATAGTAAGTAATGTAGTATTCTATAGTAAACTGTAGTATTTTGTCATGTGGGCAGACATTCAATAGTATTCTTTATCAGTATCCTAAAAGGGTAGACCTGGCTTTCCAACCAGATGTGAAAATAAGGACTATTTGGAAGCTGTGACATCCTGAAGGTAAGTGTCTGGAAAGTGTCGAGCTCTGCTCTTGCGACAGCTTATCGTTTCAGTTCAGCCAAGTTCTTCTTTCAGTGACACATGCAGGGGCGGTGTGTTCAATAGGGCGATATGGGCGACGCACTGCCAAACGGGAAAAGGAAGGGATTTTTTTTCTAATCAATTATATCACGGCAACAGTAGTTATCAGTGTTCTAATCTGATCTGACTGCCACTAAATGTCAAATCAGGCTAAAGTCGTGCTTCAAATGGCCCCGCCCGTTTTTGGGGCGATTTCAGTCATGTTGAAAATCGCCCAGAAGTCTGTCATAGACTCCCATGTAAAATCTATTTTTTTCAAATTTCAAAGCTTTCAATACAATCTCTATGGGTGTCTGTGGGCTTGCACTTACGCGCTTTCGTCATACGTGACGTAACCATGAACGTAACTAAGAAAATAGCGGCTAGCAGCGTCTCTGTTGCGACCTGCAGTGTGGCGTTATCTTATGTTTTTAATTTGTACACTTAGTGGCGTTATTTTATGTTTTTAATTTGTACACTTAGTTTACAAACATTCTGCCAACCATGGATTTCCAGTGGTGGGTTTTGGACTGATCTTGTTGATCGTGTACATACCCGCTACGAACGGACTAAATAATGAAAACGCTGCTGGCAGCGGAATCCAATACAGCTGGGAGACTTGGCTGGATGACAGAGTCCCGGACAGAGAAGTGGAGCCGGCCGGCTTCACCCTGGTCAGAGCGGACCGCGATCTGACAGTCACAGGGAAAATCGATCCTGGTAAGAGAGCGACTCTGTACCCCCGACATTGAACTGCTTTCTGTGTCACTGCGACCTTACTATCTGCCCCGTGAGTTCCCCCAATTGTTTGTTACCGTTGTGTACTGTTGATAATCACAAGTTTACTGGAGAACTGAGACCAAGTAGAGACTTTGGACAGGGTGGATATGGTATAATAAAGGCAGTTTATTCAGAGGTAAAGATATCTGGAATCGCGTGCACGGACTCGTTCGTCAAACTCTTAGGGCGCTATCTGAAGAGAGCCCCGAAAACATTGTGTGCAGACATTTTATACAATAAATGATGTAGGTTGAATCTAGTAGTTCTGATCTTCTGATTGGTCCTGATGAGTTGGGCGAGGTCCCCTCCACTGTTGCATTGGCTCTGAGTCGGGTTCTCTGTCTTCAAATGTTCAGCCTAAAGAGAGGGGATTTTTGTGTCTGTGTGTGTGTGTGTTTAACAGTGATGATGTGTGTGTGTGTGTGTTATCAGTGATGATGTGTGTGTGTGTGTGTGTGTGTGTGTGTGTGTGTGTGTGTGTGTGTGTGTGTCCTCAGAGCAAGAACTCGTGAGTTGGAAGAACTGAGAGACCTATGGCGTGGGTGTTGTCCTTGGCCACCTGCTGACAAGGCTGACAAGATAGGACTCTTTTGTCCATTGTTATAGGATAGGAACAGCATTGATTGAAAACAAACGCCCAACACAAAATGGGTCATGCACAAGATTTTAGTCAGACCAAGCTATAACATTATATATTTACTACGACAGTACATTCAACCAAAAGCTAATATAACAAAGGCATCAGAGATTATTTATAATCTGTCACAGAAACTGGAATCCATCTCCCCAGATCAGTCAATAAATGCTTCTGGTATTGACTTATATGCTGCCCCTGTCTTCATGTTGTTGCTGGACATATCTTTTTTAAAATGTGTGTAGGTCACCTAAATCATCAGAAAAATTGCCCCTCCTGAGAGTTTTTTCAGGAGCCGCCACTGGACACATGACTGAGTGAACTGTGCTTAGGGGATGTTACATCCTCTATTTCTATGGTTACATCACTGTCAGTATCAGGATGAGGAAGTTCAGAGGGAACTTTTGGTCTGTGATGTCATGTATACAATCATATCCTCAGTAAGAGTATGGTTACTATCGGTCAATAATAGCAGTGTTACATTAGGATTGAATGTGTTTAAAGTAAAATGCACCTTTTGTAATCTTCATAATACTACTTTCATCATTGGTATATGATGTTGGGGGTTGAGTTGGCGCTTTCTTCAGTTTTTAAGTGATTCCTCACATATCGTAGTCGAATCATATCGCTCCCCAATAGAGTTATGGAGAAAGTAGTGGATGTGACTGCCCTCTAGTGGTGAAATATTTGGACTGCAGAGGCCTCCTCTCCTTCTGCCCACCTACACTTCAGCGGTCACCCTGTCCTATAAACGCCTGACCCACTTTGACCAGACAAGCTTCTAAAACAAAATGCCTCTGTGAAATATTTATGGTTGGCCTTTGAGGCTGCTGAGGGGAGGATGGCTCATAATAATGGCTGGAATGGAGTCAATGGAATGGTATCAAACACGTGCATGTGGTACCATTCCATTGACTCCATTCCAGCCATGATTATGAGCCATCCTCCCCTCAGCAGCCTCCACTGATAAACACCCATATCTAACTATAGAAAACACCTCCTGACAAGCCCACACTATGAAGTTGTCTCCTCAAGTAGAACAAGCACCTATCAGTTTAACAAACCAGGGCACACCAGTAGAAAAACGTTTCAAAACGTTGTGCAACAGAAAACTAAAACAAGCATTTCTTATTGGACAAGTTCCGATAGTACCTCCCTGTTTCGGCCTGTTTTCTTCCATTTCGTGCCTAGTGAATACGACCCAGGTTCTATGGAGCAGAGTGGAAGCCCAGGATAAGAGGCCCTGTTCTTGTTGGTGGTCCCCGTGTAGACAGAGGCCTATTGTCCAGCATGTCTCCCGAGTGGCGCAGTGGTCTAAGGATCCTGGTTCGAATCCAGGCTCTGTTGTAGCCGGCCGTGACTGGGAGACCCATGGGGTGGCGCACAATTGGTCCAGGGTAGGGGAGGGAATGGCAGGCAGGGATGTAGCTCAGTTGGTAGAGCATGGCGTTTGCAACGCCAGGGTTGTGGGTTCGATTCCCACAGGGGGCCAGTATGATAAATAATGTATGCACTCACTAACTGTAAGTCGCTCTGGATAAGAGCATCTGCTAAAATGTAAAAATGTCAGTGCTTGTAGGTGCCAATAAATGGAGTCCAGTTTCATAGCAAAACCGGAGATGAATGAATGGGACAAGGTGACTGCAACACCTCTTGCCCCAGATTGAGACAGAGACACAAAGCCAAGTCTCCAAGGTGATGGATCCAATTTATTAGGGTTTCCCAGGGCTTCAGTGAACACCAGGAGGTATTAAAATACAGTACAGTTACAGTACAATACAATATATAGTGCAACATAACTTATAAACACCAGTGCTCATCATACAGTTGGATCATACCCAGGGCCATTTGTGGTAAAATAGCGGCAGCAAACATGCTACCTACATCAGGTCAAAGTTAGCCTGGTCCCAGATCAGTTTGTGCTGTCCTGCCAACTCCTATGGTCATTGGAAATTACTATTAGCAAGACAGCACAAACTGATCTAGGACCAGGCTAGGTGGAAGTGTCAATATAACCATATTTATCAAATATCACAGTGTTCAGTTCTCAAAACAGGTACCAAAAGCAAGAACATCAACAACCTGTCAATCATGTTTGACCAAAAGGAGAAAAACATTACAGTACAATATTATGTTGCACTGTGCCTTTAAAAACACTAGTCCTATTGGTTGGATTTAAAATGCAGCAAGGAGAGTTCATCAATGTAAGGTTGTAAGGTTATCTCTAAGGAAACTGCCAGAAACAAAGCAGTTCAAAGTTCATAGGTGAAAGGTTATAAATGCTGGAGAGAAAAGTGCAAATCTTAAGACTGTGGGTGTGTTTGTAGGGATTGATGCTGCTGCACCAAGGTAACCTCTTGCTGGATATGTCAACGGGGCACAAATACATATGAGCCACAATGCATTTCTATGCTATCCCAATTCTACTATCTCAGCACTATGCTGCTGTCTTGTGCTTCGTTAGGTTGCCTCTTCCACATGCCTTTCTCCACTGTGACCTGGCACATCATAAATCAGTGTTGTGCTTTTATGATACCATAGCCATCTCTCTCCTGTATGTCTCTCACTGCAGCCCGATCCTGACAAACACACACACTCTCTGGTTCATGGGTAATTCCCTGAACATCAACTATCACAACAGCAACCAACCAAGTCCACAGTAAAACTCTGTTTAGAAACATTAGTATAGGAACCCATTGGTCTTTGGAACAGGAGATTGAAAATAGAAGTACACTTAGCTTTGGGGTGCAAGAGAGCGATATAGAGATGGAGAGATGGAGAGGTGAGCGAGATGGAGAGGGAAACCCTACATACAATACAGTACTCTGCACAAGTCATGTCACATCACACAACTACCATAGGTGGTGGAAAACCAGTTTACAACCAGGAAATTACATCATCATGACATCAAATGCCATTTTGCCTGTTGGGGATGGTAGTGGCGGTGAAAGATGCAAGGGTTGTCACTGTGGATGATGTCACTGACTTTAATGAGGTTTCGGTAGCCCAGTAGCTCGGTGGAGGTGTGGCATGCTGGAGGGTCAGGGGTCACTTCTTTCTGGGCATGCTCAGATGAAGAGCGTAGAGTCACTTCTCATGGGGTACCGGGCCAGAAGAACCAACACACTCACTTATTCCAACACACACCTTTATAACAACCTTATAACAACCTCTATGCCTTTGTTATATACAAAACGTTTAGATCCCAAATGGATCTTGGTCAGGTTGCTGTTAACCTATAAAAGCTATGTGTAGGAGTAACTGAGTGTGCAGGCCCTCCTCTAGTCCACCATGTCTCAGATGAGCACCCTGAGCTCCTCGTCAGTCAGCTGGTTGACCTCCATGATCTTCTCCAGCTGTTCAGCGTAGCACGCCGTGTCCTGCAGGAAGTGAGGTATCCTCACGTGCTCCATCTGCGCCAGACCTTTCAGCCGATCCACGTCCTCGTACGACACCTGGGCAAGCAGACAGACAGAAACAATCAAGATCATGCTAATGTATTTTAGAACAAGCGAACAAAAACGTCAGACTGACAGAAACAATCAAGATCGAATTTGTGCTAATGTAATAAAAGCAGGTTTCTATTCTGCAGGGAGTGCCACTGGCCAAACCGCCTCTTGGCAGGCTTTTGTTCCAGCCCTACTCTAACACACCTGGAACTGTGAATCCATGCTCTGATGAGCAGCTCATTAGTAGAATCAGATGTGCTAGAGCAGGGCAGGAATAAACGCCTGCATACCAAGTAGCTCTCTAGGAGGGTTGGCCACCTGTGCTATACAGATATGCCTAAAACAGACAGCAGTAACACTGTAAGCCCATCTGTGTGAAACACATTGAGTCATGTGTTCCCTCTCTATGCCTGAAGTCATTCTTCTTCTCAGGCAGAATAACATGGTCTGCTCTGCTTTCTCCTCATACAGCTGTAGTTACGTAAGCTTATTCAGCCTGGCATCTCATTCAATTTCATGTGCAAATAAGCATTGTCGTTATGGTGAAGGAGAAAGAGAAATAGGAAGAGAGGAGAGCGATACGAAAGCTGTGCAGTCAAACACATCAAACATATTGCCTTTGTGTCTCCTGTCTGCAGTGTAATGCAAACCCTTTGAAAAATAATCATTATGCACAAAAAGCCATAGGATGCAGATCATAGAATAAGAATTGGTGACCTTGTTAGCCGGTTTGGCAGCCTCCTGATAAACCTACTCTTGCTATGTCTACGGGTCCTAGTCTGACACACTAAACAGACCCCCTGTTACGCACCTTGCCCAGGGACATGAGCAGCTGGAAGTCAATCTTCTCTCTGTGTCTCAGGATCTTCAGGATGCCATCCAGGTACACCTGGTCCTTACTGAAACAACCTGAAATATACAACAACAAGCCCATGGAGATGACATCAGTACGTACTCAAACAACCTGAAATATACAACCACAAGCCCATGGAGATGACATCAGTACGTACTGAAACAGCCAAGTCCACATTCATTACATCTGAACTTAAAAACCCCCAAGGCCTGGTAGAAAATGCTGACTCCAGTAGGTGGAAAAGCTAAAGTAAGAGATAGGTGTGTGGCTGCATGCAGGAATGCCTATGTACAGATGTAAGATCTTAATTTGATTACCCAGTTGCAGGAGAACTTTCATGCAATGCAGAACATTTAAAACGTGTAGTATATTTGAGGTTTAAAAAGGCTTCTGAAGCTTGCAGTTTATACTTAAAAATGTCAGACTTGATTTTCCCTTACGAAAGATGTATCAACCCCTACAAAAATGTCCATTAATTATAATCAACATAATAATTCACATTTCCTGTTGCTGCAAGATTATTTTCCTGCTGTAGCAAACCGGCTCAAATTAAGATACTACATCTGTATGGGCGTGTGAACAAAAGGTTGTGTCTGTGTTAGTTACCTGGCTGTGCAGTGTCGGTCTGTCCCCTCTTGGCTCGTACACAGTAGTCCCAGCGTGTGTTGGGGTCCTGGACGAAGCGTCCCAGGCTGTGGAACAGCTGAGAGAAGGACATGCGGCTGGCCTGGTACACTGTGTAGTAGAGTAAGGCAGCCCTCCACAGGGTAGGGTCCTTACGGAACAGGACAGAGTGGATGCTGGCCAGCCCTTCCTCCGTAGGGTTCAAAGGTCGGAGATTGTGCTTCTTCCTGCCGACTACGATGTTCCACGGCTGCTGGGCGTTGTTGATGCCCCGGAAGTAGTGTGTGCCTAGGAAGAGGGCACAGACACAGGAAATGATCACAGTGGCTATATTGCACCAACAGGGTGAAGAGACCCAAGCTGACCTCATCCTAGAAAAAATAACAGTGCCGCTGAGTACAGCAGAGCCGACTAGTGGGCCGGTGAATTACTGTGCGCGAACAGCAAGTTCAGTATTGAGTGGACCAGGACCATGAGTAATGATTGTGTTAATTTAAATGTGCTGTGGTTGCGGAAGTGCCTCTTATCAACCAATACATGTTTTGCACCTAGCTCTCCTGACCCATTCTCCCTGATCCAGGACAAATGTGTGCATTATGTCACCCTTGAAATACATTACTGTGTGGCTGTAATACTGTAACAAACACTGGGATATGTGCACCTCTTGACAAAACGACGCACCCCTAGAGGTATAATGGAGTTATAGTACCAACCGATCTCGTGTCGAAGCATGCCCTCCAGCCAGTGTTCCCGGGCTGTGGCAATGTTGATGGTCAGAGTGGGACGGCTGTTCACCACCGTCATGGACGCTCTGGAGAGGAGGTCGTCTGTCACGTTGACCACTATCTGACGACAGAGAGAAGGAGAGATGTTGAGACTCACTTTATATGGAGCACTATCTGGCAAAGACACCACATAGAGATATGTAGTTAAGAAACGTCTACCTTAATAAGCGATACGGTACCGTAGCAGGATATGGGGTTACTATGTGGCGGCTACATCATATGAGGGAATTGTTATGATTGGGGTGTGCAGAATTGTAATTATAGTGATCTTAGGGGGTTTGTTCTTTTGGGAGATTTAGGAGGAACAATTAAAAAAAATTGATTAAATATTTATTTTTCTCTCACCCATCTACACACAATATCTTACAATGACAAAGTGAAAACATGTTTTTAGAAATTTTTGCAAATGTATTTAAATGAAATAAAGAAATACAGTACCAGTCAAAAGATAGATACAGTGCCTTGCAAAAGTATTCATCCCCCTTCACGTTTTTCCTATTTTGTTGCATTACAACCTGTAATTTAAATGGATTTTTATTTGGATTTCATGTAATGGACATCCACAAAATAGTCCAAATTGGTGAAGTGAAATGAAAAAAATTACTTGTTTCAAAACATTCAAAAAAAAAAATAACGGAAAAGTGGTGCGTGCATATGTATTCACCCCCTTTGCTATGAAGCCCCTAAATAAGATCTGGTGCAACCAATTACCTTCAGAAGTCACATAATTAGTTAAATAAAGTCCACCTGTGTGCAATCTAAGTGTCACATGATCGCAGTATATATACACCTGTTCTGAAAGGCCCCAGAGTCTGCAACACCACTAAGCAAGGGGCACCACCAAGCAAGCAGTACCATGAAGACCAAGGAGCTCTCCATACAGGTCAGGGACAAAGTTGTGGAGAAGTACAGATCAGGGTTGGGTTATAAAAACATATCCAAAACTTTGAACATCCCACGGAGCACCATTAAACCCATTATTAAAAAATTTAAAGAATATGGCACCACAACAAACCTGCCAAGAGAGGGCCGCCCACCAAAACTCATGGACCAGGCAAGTAGGGCATTAATCAGAGAGGCAACAAAGAGACCAAAGATAACCCTGAAGGAGCTGCAAAGCTCCACAGCGGAGATTGGAGTATCTGTCCATAGGACCACTTTAAGCCGTACACTCCACAGAGCTGGGCTTTACGGAAGAGTGGCCAGAAAAAAGCCATTGCTTAAAGAAAAAAATAACCAAACACGTTTGCAGTTCGCGAAAAGGCATGTGGGAGACCCCCCAAGCATATGGAAGAAGGTACTCTGGTCAGATGAGACTAAAATGTAGCTTTTTGGCCATTAAGGAAAACGCTATGTCTGGCGCAAACCCAACACCTCTCATCACCCCGAGAACACCATCCCCACAGTGAAGCATGGTGGTGGCAGCATCATGCTGTGGGGATGTTTTTCATTGGCAGGGACTGGGAAACTGGTCAGAATTGAAGGAATGATGGATGGCGCTAAATACAGGGAAATTCTTGAGGGAAACCTATTTCAGTCTTCCAGAGATTTGAGACTGGGACGGAGGTTCACCTTCCAGCAGGACAATGACCCTAAGCATACTGCTAAAGCAACACAAGCGTGGTTTAAGGGGAAACATTTAAATGTATTGGAATGGCCTAGTCAAAGCCCAGACCTAAATCCAATTGAGAATCTGTGGTATGACATAAAGATTGCTGTACCAGCGGAACCCATCCAACTGCCTTGAAGAATGGGCAAAAATCCCAGTGGCTAGATGTGCCAAGCTTATAGTGACATACCCCAAGAGACTTGCAGCTGTAATTGCTGCAAAAGGTGGCTCTACAAAGTATTGACTTTGGGGGGGGGGGGGGGGGGGGGGGTGAATAGTTATGCACGCTCAAGTTTTCAGTTTTTTTCTCTTATTTCTTGTTTGTTTCACAAGAAAAAATATTTTGCATCTTCAAAGTGGTAGGCATGTTGTGTAAATCAAATGATACAACCCCCCCAAAAATCAATTTTAATTCCAGGTTGTAAGGCAACAAAATAGGAAAAATGCCAAGGGGGTGAATACTTTCGCAAGCAAATGTATTATGGCAAGAACAGCTCAAATAATGAAAGAAAAAGGACAGCCCATCATTACTTTAAGACATGAAGGTCAGTCAATACGGAACATTTCAAGAACTTTGAAAAGTTTCTTCAAGTGCAGTCGCAAAAACCATCAAGCCCATGGGGTGGCGCACAATTGGCCCAGCGTCGTCCAGGGTAGGGGAGGGAATGGCCGGCAGGGATGTAGCTCAGTTGGTAGAGCATGGCATTTGCAACGCCAGGGTTGTGGGTTCGATTCCCATGGGGGGCCAGTATGAAAAAAATAAATGTATGCACTAACTGTAAGTCGCTCTGGATAAGAGCGTCTGCTAAATGACTAAAATGTAAATGTAAAATGTAAGCGCTATGAGGAAACTGGCTCTTATGAGGACCGCCACAGGAATGGAAGACCCAGAGTTACCTCTGCTGCAGAGGATAAGTTCATTAGAGTTACCAGCCTCAGAAATTGCAGCCCAAATAAATGCTTCATAGAGTTCAAGTAACAGACACATCTCAACATCAACTGTTCAGATGAGACTGTGTGAATCAGGCCTTCATGGTCGAATTGCTGCAAAGAAATCACTACTAAAGGACACCAATAAACAAGAGCAATGGACATTAGACCGGTGGAAATTTGTCCTTTGGTCTGGAGTCCAAATTTGAGATTTTGGGTTTCAACCGTGTGGGTGAACGGATGATCTCCACATGTGTGTTTCCCAACGTAATGCATGGAGGAGGAGGTGTTATGGTGTGGGGGTGCTTTGCTGGTGACACTGTCTGTGATTTATTTAGAATTCAAGGCACACTTAACCAGCATGGCTACCACAGCATTCTGAAGCGATACGCCATCCCATCTGGTTTGGGCTTAGTGGGACTATCATTTGTTTTTCAACAGGACAATGACCCAACACACCTCCAGGGTGTGTAAGTGCTATTTTACCAAGAAGGAGAGTGATAGAGTGCTGAATCAAATGACCTGGCCTCCACAATCCCCCGACCTCAACCCAATTGAGATGGTTTGGGATGAGTCGGACCGCAGAGTGAAGGAAAAGCAGCCAACAAGTGCTCAGCATATGTGGGAACTCCTTCAAGGCTGTTGGAAAAGCATTCCAGGTGAAGCTGGTTGAGAGAATGCTATTTCATAGTTTTGATGTCTTTACTAGTATTCTACAATCTAGAAAATAGTAAAAATAAAGAAAAACCCTTGAATGAGTAGGTGTTCTAAAACTTTTGACCGGTAGTGTAAGTATTCACACCCCTGATTCAATACTTTGTAGAAGCACATTTGGCAGTGATTACATTGTTATTTTCAAAATTCTTCAAGCTCCGTCATATTAGTTGTTAATCATTGCTAGACAACCATTTTCAGGTCTTAGATTTTCAAGTAATTTTAAGTCAAAACTGTAACTCGGCCACTCAGGAACATTCACTGTCTTCTTGGTAAGCAACTCCAGTGTATATTTGGCCAGGTTTTCTACTAGGATTTTGCCTGTGCTCAGCTCCATTCTTTTTTATCCTGAAAAACTCCCCAGTCCTTAATGGTTACAAGCATACCCACAACATGATGCAAGCATCACTATGCTTGAAAATGTGGAGCGTGATACTCAGTAATGTGTTGTATTGGATTTGCCTCAAACATAACAGTTTGTATTCAGGAGAAAAAGTTAATTGCTTTGCCACATTTTTTGCAAACAGGATACATGTTTTGTAATATTTATATTCTGTACATGCTTCCTTCTTTTCCCTCTGTCAATTAGGTTAGTATTGTAGAGTAACTACAATGTTGTTGATCCATCCTCAGTTTTTTCCTATCACAGCCATTAAACTATGTAACTGTTTTAAATTCACCATTGGCCTCATGGTGAAATCCCTGAGCGGTTTCCTTCCTCTCCGGCAACTGAGTTAGGAAGGACGGCCTGTATCTTTGTAGTGACTAGGTGTATTGATAAACCATCCAAAGTGTAATTAATAACTTCACCATGCTCAAAGGGATATTCAATGTCTGCTTTTTTTTTTACCCATCTACCAATAGGTGCCTTTCTTTGCGAGGCTTTGGAAAACCTCCCTGATCTTTGTGGTTCAATCTGTGTTTGAAATTCACTGCTCGACTGAGGGACCTTACAGATAATTGTATGTGTGGGTAGTCATAAAAAAATCATGTTAAACACTATTATTGCACACGGCATGAGTTCATGCAACTTATTACGTGACTTTTATGCAAATCTTTACTCCTCACCTTATTAAGTCTTGCCATAACAGAGGGGTTGAATACTTATTGACACAAGATATCTAAAAACATAATTCCACTTTGACATTATTGGGTATTGTGTGTAGGCCAGTGACAAAAACATCGATATTTAATCCATTTTAAATTCAGGCTGTAACACAACAAAATGTGGAAAAAGGGTGTGAATCCTTTCTGAAGGCACTGTAGTTGACCCTGGATCTGTGGTAAGGGGTATCTTATACCTTTCTCCAGGTAAAAGTTGCCCTTGACCACAGATTTGGAATCAGATTACTCCAGCTGGTCCATGTCCTCTCACCTCCCCAATACAGCCCTCCTTTTCCATGTACTTCTTGACCAGGTACCAGATACGACACTTGGTGAGCAGGTTGCCCCCTGTGGCTTGCTCAAACATCTCATAGCTCCCATACTTCTGGAGGGCCAACTCCATGATACGCACCGCCTGTAGGGGGAGAGAAACACCATGACAGAATACATTATGCTAAAATCGAATGATGGACTTAAGTGTTTTCTTGGTAAGAATACAGCTATAAAGGCTTGATTCAGTTCAGGAGTGCAACTTGTGTTGAGTTGATATTGAGGAAAATAACAAGAACTTGAGTAATCCTTCAGTTGATTTGTTTGGAGGGAAATACTGCATAGCAAATAGCTATCTATGATTAGGCTATATAAATAGCTCCCTATTAGGAATAGCACTTGGAGAAGTTTTGTCCGGTGACAAGGCCAGGGCAGTACAGGTCAGTGCTTTCTCCATTCTCTCTGTGGTGTGGTCAGGGCTGTGGAATAGGCCTAATAGAGACAGTCCCTACTCCCTACAGATCATTACAGAGATCATCCTCTCTCTCGCCCCAGCACACACGCCACAGAGACCAAGTAGAGTCAGTTCTGTTAAATGTACACTAACTGGAGTTGTTACGCAATAGTACAATTAGCTGTTGAAGTCACATAGTGTAAATTTGTTCCTGAAACTTATCAGGGTTAGGATTACTGCATGAGGTAGCCTAATCAACATGAAGTTGGGCAGATTAGTGTTTCATCGTTTTGAAGTTTAATAACAGTTGATTGTCAGCATTGAGGATCAAACTAAAAAAGGGGTCCTATTCTACATTAATTCTACATCAGTGTAGAGAATGGCCACACAGTTATACACAATGGGAATCTGTAAAACGATACTAGTGCCAGGAGTGGAAGACAGAAAACATGATAGCACAAAGGGCAATGTCCACCACAGGATCACATTACCTGCATTTTCTGTAGACTTCATTCAACAAAAGAGGCTGCCATAGGTTCCTATCAGTATACTAGTGTTACCCAGGTAGCTAGCACTCAACGGAACACCTTAGGGGTTGCTATTAAGTTCAGACAGCACTAGAAACACTAGACCAGACTACATTCTATTAATTATCCTGAACTATATGTTAGACAGCAGGCTATCTAGTACAATCACTATGATTTACAGTAGTACTTAAAAGCATATTTTCTTGGAAATTGATTTGTCCCTCAATTCATTCTTGTAGCTCCGCTAACTATTGCGTAAGGTACTGATTTCTCTTGTCTCTCTTGTTGGGGTAATCGCAACATGACTTTTAACATACTCACTCAGCTATTGATCTGTCGGTAGAGTAGCTTGTTGGCTATCTGCCCAGAATAAGGGCTAATGTTGATAGCCATTTGATAAATACTAATGTGGATAGAGAGTGCACAAAGACATATTTTCTACCTCAATCATACAGCTCAGACAGAGAGAGCACTGATGTCTCTTTCCACCCCCTGACTGGTGTGCTGGAGTTTTAAAGCACCACCCCCCCCCCCCCCCCCCAACTAATCTATCCAAGCTTGTCTGACAGGGTTTGTCTGCTGCCTGGCTGCGTGGCTTTCAGTAAGTGGGCAGATTTACTTCAGCTCAGTCCTGGGAGAATAAGAGGTTTGGCAGAGACATTTCTTGGCCCCAGGCTCTGGGCTTGACCCCTGGCACAATGTGCCTCGCTATCTAAAATCAGCCGACTCAGCAGTAGCCTTGGGCACTTGGGACATGGTTTAGGACAGGGTAGGTCACCTGTACCGACCTCTGGAAGTGCTTAGTGTTTGTTTGTTGTGCCTAGTCTACCTCTTGCCTTAGTTGTATAAAACCTGTCCTATCCTTAGACTTACCTGTAACAGTAATTGGCATGATAATTCACTCCTCACCTCTCCACTGTTATAGCTGATGTGTAGGGAGATTTATGGTTTAAAATGGCCCGAAAAGCACTATTAATTCATTGACATGGGTCTCACCTGTGTCAGGAAGCGGTCGGAGGCGTTGTTGTGGCGAGCCAGCACCAGCGGAGACACAGGGTTGCTGTACTCAAACTGAGGATTGTAGCTGAAGTCCGACTTGAAGAACTTCACCTTCTCCTTCTCCACGTTGGACGGCTTGATGGCGGTGAGGATGCAAAGCTTCTTGATTCCGGCGTTCTCCCCTTCCCGCATCACCCCTCCTCTGGGCAGCGAGGGCAGCTTGGTACGGGTTGAGCTGGAAAAGCAGGTCTTCCATGGCCGGGCGACAGGGCGGGGGGACAGGCTCATGGTGCTACCCAGGACTGTGATGCTGTGGGCTGGCTTGGGTCCACTGGCGAAGCCCCCTGAGGCGGAGGAGAAGACATGGTGGTGGGAGGAGTGCCTGGTGTCCCTGGTGTCTCCGCTGCCCTGCTGGCCCAACAGTAACAGAGGAGTTACAGACGGATGGTGGTGGTTATCGTGTGACCTGCTGGATGTAGAGGCACATCTCACAGTCTTCTTGGGTCTGCGGTACGGGGAGTGCTTGGGGCTCTGTCTCTCCTCCTCCTCGGCCTGCAGGAGCACATTGTAGCTGCTGGTTCCTGTGGTGAAGAGGTCCTTGAGGATGCTGGACGACAGCTTCTCCAGGCACACCTGAGTGGGGCTCAGAGGCCGCTTGTCCGGCACCGTGGGGCTTGAGTACTTCTTAGAGATCTCCATCTCTACCGGCAACGTCGAGCTCAGGAGGTACTTCTTAGACTGCTCCATCGATGGCCAATGGAGCCTTTCTGAAACAACAAGTGTTGATGACTGACCAAGGGTTGAGTCAGTAATACTGACGCAGCAGCTTGCTTATTTTAGATTATCTCTCTCACTCACTCACTGAACAGTACCTAGACTAATCCTTTTACAGAATGAGACAGAGGAGCTTCTTCAGTCTGCAGCCAGTTCAGCTCTAAAGCTAGACTTCTGTGAATTCTGTCATGTGTGCATGCGTTGTTTACAGAACCCAATAGAGGATTATTCAATAGCTCAGAGGGTGATATCATTGGTTTGGGTTTGGAGTGCAACACTGACTCACTCAGACCAAGCCAATAAAGGCTGCTACTATCCTCCTCCATTTCATAGAATCACAGTGCATAGACCTTAAATGGACATATCCAAATGGACATTTCTGACAACCTCTCCAGTTACAGCTTTATAGCAATTGTATCAGCAGTCCTTATTGGGACTATTAGCTATGCTTCATTGATTTCTCTATGCACAAAGCACAGTCAGTTATGATGTAGGTGTGTCACCAAATTATTCCCATCATGTCTCCAGAGTGTGACAGGGTAGCAGCCCTAGTGTAGAGCATTGTGTCCTGTGCTCCAGTGAGATGGGCTGGATGACCAGGAGCGTCATCACACTGTGTATAACTACTTTGTTCAGACAGGAGCACTGATGTGGAAGCTATGCAACCATTGCACTAACAACACAACCACTTCGGGGCTTCAGCAGATCACATGGCAACAACAGATTTCAAAACAAACCATCTCAGATAACATTACCCAAGCTGAATCATTCCAAAAGATGAGTCAGTAGCTGGTCATGGAACAAATACATTAAGAATGGATAAATATCCCTTGACCATGTCAATGTTTTCTGCTTTATTACAGCAACAGGTGTATATTGCAGTTCTACATTATTTTAGCTACACTATTCTGTTCTTGCTGCACTGCAAAATAGCTTGATTTAGATTTTTGAGGTAGTACAGTACTGACAAATAATGCAATACAGTGGCTACTGACAGTTATAATGCATTGTTAGACTTGTTATAACAATGTTGGTGTACTTTTTTTATACTAACTTTTTTTTTATGTGTGATTTTATAGATTTTTATCCTGCTGTTGATTATCTTGTGTATGTAAAGTGACTTTGAATCTCTTGAAAAGTGCTTGAAAAGTTAAGCATGTATGTTATGACAGCTTTATAATGTCTAAAATGTCTATAATGTATCTACAAGATCATCAGCAGACTCCATCACCATCATCTACCATCCTCTGACCAGCTCCCTCCACTCAAGCCATAAACTGACCCTACCCATCTTCGGAGGATGCAGCTTTCAAAGACTTGGCCTTTGTTGACCTGTCATGATAATATTGCTTGTTGTTTTTTTTCTCTTGAAGCGCTTTGAGATTCTATGAAAAGCGCTAAAGAAATGTAACAAATTATTATTATTAAAAACATCCTATTAATGAGTGTCAAAACAACAGCCAGTTTCAGAATGAGTGGAAAATGCAGAACAACTTATTATAAGCATTTTATGTTTGAAGTTCAGACTTCTGTGTTCAGTGTGTCTCTGTTGTTGCTGGCTTTCTGACCAGATTGGAACGCTAATGTTAGCTAATTCAAGCAAATTCAAGTCATACACAGATAAAGTGCATACATACCAGTCACTTTTATTGATTCGAGCATTGATTCGAGTCTTTGTTCTGTGGACCACCTCTTGACAACAACGTCTCCCAAGCAAAAAAAAAACAAGTAGCTAGCAAGCTAACAAGTAACCTTAGCTAATGTAGCTAGCTAACCAGTTTGCCAACTGTCACTAACCTAACCTAACTAGCTAGTTAGATCAAACTAAACAAGATTAGCTAGCTAGCAAGCTAGACAGTCAACTAACGATGATAGCAGATAACCAGCTAGCTGAGAATGTCTTCACAAAAAGAAAAGCCTTGTTGAAGGCATCTTGTCCTTCTATTTTGAGCACTCAGACATCAGTCGTTCCGTACTGTTGAGACTGAAGAACGAAATTACACAAACTAAGAGCTGTTTCCATAGTGCCCGTGCAACGTCACACATAAACGACTGTGCTTCTGGGAGATAATGTTTTCAGTAAAAAGACAAGATTTGATTTTTTGCAACTAATATTATTCCAAAGTGTCATTACAGTTTATACAGACTTGTATTATGTTTTTAACTTTTTTAACCAAACCTCAGACAAATTCCACCAAATTGTTTCATAAATGTGGCTTCATTCAATATCTACTTATCTGATTCCATGTATTTCTGCATGTTTTAAATTTGTGACTCAGACTCAATGGCATAAAAAAAATAATATGCTTAATTTAACCAGGCAGCACAAATTCCATCCTCCTCCTAATGTCTCACTGAAGGTAGGGACTTGAATTATGGGATTATAATGATGACAGAAGCACATAACTACCTGAGTTTGTATTCTGAATTTCGTGGTTGCACATTATGATTCATGGTTGCAAGTACGATTCGCAAATGTGTAATTTAATTTCGCAATTTCGTGTGAAAGATTTAACAACGGTCGCAAACTTGTAATTTGACATTTGAATACATTCAATAAGACTTGCAAGCGTAAAGTCAATTTACAAGCATGAATATTCTGCTGTGAATCAAAAATACACTTGCAGATTTTGAATCTGCTTGCACTCTGAGTTCTGTCACTGTTGTCACCTTACCAAGAGATTCGTGGGGGCAGGACCGTTTACTCCTGAGTCTTGACCAATCAGTTTCCTCTGCCAAAACCACAGCCGCCTAACCATTGGCTGGATTGTTCCATCGATCAAATCAATGTTTATCATGTGAAATATACTGGTACATTTCAGATGAACTCCAGACCACTCTACGGGTACTTAAGAATGGCTTGACAGAAAGGACGAGAGCATGGCTAGAAGAACGATTAAGACAGGCAAAGGGGAGGCATGGCGGGAATTTTGCTCCACTATTGGTAGAGGGACCGAAATTGGTGCGCTTTGGAAAATGTTTTTTTAAATGATGGGGAAGGATAAAACTGATGGAATTCCAGTGTTGGTAGATGGAAACGTCATAGCTGTATCGAGTAAAGAAAAGTAAAATGCCCTAAGTGGTGCGTTTGCAGCGGTTCATAGATGTGAGCACCTGTGTGATGAGCGTAAGAGGAGACCATAGGGAAAAGTTAAAGAAGCATGGAGATGTCTTAAAGAGAAAAGGGGAGTCAGGAGAAGCTATGGATGCAGAGTTCTCTATGTTTGAGATGACAAGGGCAATGGAGGGCTGTGGGCAAACTGCTCCTGGAGATAAGGTGTGTTATATGATGATGTTTAAGCATGCATGGTAGAGTGTGTTGGAAGCAGTGTTAGGGTTGTATAATAAGGTGTGGAGGACTGGGGTGATACCTGCTGTGTGGAAAAGTGAGGTGGTGTTGCCGTTTGTAAAATCAGGTAAAGATCTCGCTAGGGCAGGCAGTTATAGGCCTATCGCACTGACACCCAACGTGTACATTTATGGAAAGGATGATAGTGAGTAGGATGATGTATCTCTTGAAAGTTAGGGGTTTGATGAGCGTAGCACAGAGTGGGTTTCTGGAGAGGGAGGTCTGCCATGGATGCCCTGGTGACAGTTAGTACATATATAGCCAGAGGTGATGAGTGTTGTGTATTTTGACATTGAGAAAGCTTACGATACCATGTGGAGGGAAGGGTTGTTGATCAAGTTGAGTGCCTTGGGCATTGGGGGACTTCTGTATAACTGGATCATAGAGTTCCTGTTCGATTGAGTCATACGGGTGAGGGTGGGGTCAGAATTGTCAATGCGGTTTGAAGTGGACAATGGTACTCCTCAGGGAAGTGTTGTTAGTCCGGTGTTTATCACCCTGATGATAGATTACATATTTAAGGAGGTGGGACAGGGAGTGGGTGTGGCCTTGTATGCCGATGATGGAGCTGTATAGAAGAGAGGTGGGAATGTGAAATATGTGATGAGGAAGATGCAACAAGCTGTGGAAGTTGTGGAAGACTGGTCTCTAACATAGGGGTTTAGGATGTCTGTGGCCAAGTCCTACTTTATGGTGTTTTCTAGGAGGAAGGTTAAAGATGTTAGGCTGCACATATACGGTCAGGATATAGGTAGGGTGTCTGAGTTTAAAGTGATTAGGTATGTGGTTTGATGAGAGGCTTACGTGGAAGAGACGTTGACTATATTTAAATTAAGTGTAGGAAGGTGCTGAACCTCATCAGGGCAGTGGCAGGATATGATAGGGGGTCGGATAGACAAACACTGTTGTATATGTACCAGGTATTGATCAGGTCATCTTTGGATTATGGGTGCTTTGTATATGGATCGGCAGCCAAAATGGTACTACAGCGCCTGGATAGGATATGGTCAAGGGCCCTGAGATTGTGTGTGGTTGCCTTCAGGACCACACCTGTTGAGGCGTTGCAGGTGGATAATGGGGAACTGCCACTGAGAATAAGGCGGGACAAACTTGCATTAGCATACTGGGCGAGGTTGAAAGGGAGTTCAGAAGGACATCCTGCGGCCACAACAATTGGGGAATGCTGGGAGCGAGGAGGGGTTAAGCAGAGGGCGTACGGGTGGACAATCGGGCAAAAGGTGGTAGAATATGGATTGGGGGAGAGCGAGATAGGGCCGCCAATTGCATTGGGGAACGTTCCTCCGTGGCTGTTTCCGAAACCAAGTGTAGATGTGGACATGATTGAGGGCAGGAGAGAATGGGGTGAGGACGTGAGACGGTGTGTGGAGAGATACTGCTAACAGCAGTGAAGGAGGAGGGAGAGACACACATGGACCACAACCCCAACACCACAATGGGACAGACAACACTGGACCCAACAACCCAACAGACTCCACCCCCTCCTGACAGCCCCCCTGTCAGCTCCCCCATAGCTCTCCTGACAACCCCTACACATCCATTGAGGACACACAAAAGCCAGAAATTGTGCTCCTCATTGACTCAAATGGCAAATACATTCAAGAGAATAAACTTTTTCCCAAACACAAAGTGGCTCAACTCTGGTGCCCAAACACTAGGCATGCCCTGGAGCTGTTGTCAGAGGACAGACTAGGGTCCCCCAGCCACATTATAATTCACACGGGCACAAACGACCTGAGGGCCCAGCAGGAAAGGGTGGACACAGCACCCAAGGGAGTGATTGAAAAAGCTTCTTCCACTTTTGCTAGGATGCTGAAGGACGTCACCCTCAACCGCAGCCCCAGCACCTCACACAGGAGCAACGGACACCTCGCCCAGACCAGCGAGACACTCTCCCAGACCTGCAAGACCCCCTCCCGAAGGACCTGCATCAAGAGAACCCATGCCAAGAGGACCTACACCCAGACCACAGCTTCACCAGCCACACCCCAACCAGCTGAGACCACCCCAAACACACAAAAACAATACTAGACGCTATGGCTATGGAACACAAAGCTTTTACTATCTCATCCTGGAATATATAAGGTCTGAGGTCATCTGCCTAAAGAGCAGGAACCCAGACTTCATCAAAGAAATTGGAAATACAGACATTGTAATCCCACAAAAAACATGGTATAGAGGAGACGGACCAACTGGTTGCCCTCTAGGTTACAGAGAGCTGGTAGTCCCATCTACTAAACTACCAGGTGTGAAACAGGGAAGAGACTCAGGGGGTATGCTAATTTGGTATAGAGCAGACCTAACACACTCTATTAAATTAGTCAAAACAGGAACATTTTACATCTGGCTAGAAATTAACCTCTTAAGGATCAGATCTTTTTTTTCAATTTTTGCCTAAAATGACATACCCAAATCTAACTGCCTGTAGCTCAGGACCTAAAGCAAGGATATGCATATTCCTGATACCATTTGAAAGGAAACACTTTGTAGATTGTGGAAATGTGAAATTAATGTAGGAGAATATAACATATTAGATCTGGTAAAAGATAATACAAACAAAAAAAACATGCGTTTTCATTTTATTTTATTTTTCATCATCTTTGAAATGCAAGAGAAAGGCCACAATATAATATTGCAGTTTAGGCGCAATTTAGATTTTGGCCACTAGAGAGCAGCAGTGTGTGTGCAAAGTTTCAGATTGATCCAGTGAAGCATTGCAATGCTGGACTATTTTGTATCAAGTCTGCCCAAATGTGCCGAATTGGACAATTGATACATTTTCAAGTACATAACTATAGAGAATGTACAAAAATGATATGTTAATACAAAATGTAAGTTTACACACTCCCAGGAATGTCATACATGATGGATCATTAGCTTATACACTAACTTTCACACATCTAGATGGCCAGGCAGGGTGGGTGTGGAGCCAGAGACAGCAGAGGTTCAAATTATTGAACCCAGTTCCTACATTTAAATACAAAACTATGCTACATTTTATCTCTAGGACCCTCAGGATGACAAATCCGAGCAAGATTACTGAATGTAAGTACATTATTTACCTTCAGAGGTGAATGTATCAAACCAGTTGCCGTGATAAGTTTTTTGTTGTTGTGCACTATCCTCAAACAATAGCATGGTATTTTTTCACTGTAATAGTTACTGTAAATTGAACAGTGCAGTTAGATTAACAAGAATTTAAGCTTTCTGCCCGTATAAGACATGTCTATGTCCTGGAAAGTTTGCTGTTACTTACAACAGTAATGCTAATCACATTAGTGCACGTTAGCTCAACCGTACCGTATACGGGACACCGATCCTGTAGAGGTTAATAAGAAAATTATCTCAACAGAGAAAAATTTCCTCATGTGTGCTACCTATATCCCCCCAATAGAATCCCCATACTTACTTCTCCATCCTAGAGGGGGAGATCAACCATTTCCAGGCCCAGGGGCATGTACTAGTCTGTGGCGACCTAAATGCCAGATCTGGACAAGAACCTGACACTCTCAGCACACAGGGGGACAAACACCTACCTGGAGGTGACAGTATTCCCTCCCAAATATGCCCCCCTAGACACAACTATGACAAAACAACCAACAAAAATGGGTCACAACTCCTGCAGCTCTGTCGCACGCTGGGTCTGTACATAGTTAATGGTAGGCTTCGAGGAGATTCCTATGGTAGGTACACCTACAGCTCATCCCTTGGCAGTAGTACTGTAGATTACTTTATCACTGACCTCAACCCAGAGTCTCTCAGAGCGTTCAGAGTCAGCCCACTAACACCCCTATCAGATCACAGCAAAATCACAGTCTACCTGAACAGAGCAATACTCAATCATGAGGCATCAAAGCCAAAGGAACTGCACAATATTAAGAAATGCTATAGATGGAAGGAAAGTATTGTAGAAACCTACCAAGAAACAATTAAGCAACAACAAATTCAATCCCTTTTAGACATCTTCCTGGACAAAACATTTCACTGTAATAGTGAAGGTGTAAATGTGGCAGTAGAAAGCCTAAACAGTATATTTGACCTCTCATCTTCCCTATCAAATCTAAAAATCTCTAACAGAAAACTGAAGAAAAGTAACAACAATGACAAATGGTTTGATGAAGAACGCAAAAACCTAAGAAAGAAATTGAGAAACCTATCCAACCAAAAAAATAGAGACCCAGAAAACCTGAGCCTACGCCTTCACTATGGTGAATCACTAAAACAATACAGAAATACACTACAGAAAAAGAAGGAACAGCATGTCAGAAATCAGCTCAATGTAATTGAAGAATCCATAGACTCTAATCACTTCTGGGAAAATTGGAAAACACTAAACAAACAACAACACGAAGAGCTATCTGTCCAAAACGGAGATGTATGGGTAAACCACTTCTCCAATCTTATTGGCCCTTTAACAAAGAACAAACAGCAAAAAAATAGACATGATCAAATGAAATGAAAATCTTAGAATCAACTATTAAAGACTACCAGAACCCACTGGATTCTCCAATTACATTGAATGAACTACAGGACAAAATACAAACCCTCCAACCCAAAAAGGCCTGTGGTGTTGATGGTATCCTCAATGAAATGATCAAATAACAATTGGCTATACTTAAACTCTTTAACATCATCCTTAGCTCTGGCTTCTTCCCCAATATTTGGAACCAAGAACTGATCACCCCAATCCACAAAAGTGGAGACAAATTTGACCCCAATAACTACCGTGTGATATGCGTTAACAGCAACCTTGGGAAAATCCTCTGCATTATCATTAACAGCAGACTAGTTCATTTCCTCAGTGAAAACAATGTAGTGAGCAAATGTCAAATTGTGTTTTTACCAAATTACCGTACGACAGACCACGTATTCACCCTGCACACCCTAATTGACAAACAAACAAACAAAAATAAAGGCAAAGTCTTCTCATGCTTTGTTGATTTCAAAAAAGCTTTTGACTCAATTTGGAATGAGGGTCAGCTATACAAATTGATGGAAAGTGGGGTTGGGGGAAAAACATAATAAAATCCATGTACACAAACAACAAGTGTGCGGTTAAAATTGGCAAAAAACACACACATTTCTTTCCAAAGGGCCGTGGGGTGAGACAGTGATGCAGTTTAAGCCCCACCCTCTTCCATATTTATATCAACGAATTGGCGAGGGCACTAGAACAGTTTGCAGCACCCGGCCTCACCCTACTAGAATCTGAAGTCAAATGTCTACTGTTTGCTGATGATCTGGTGCTTCTGTCCCCAACCAAGGAGGGCATACAGCAGCACCTAGCTCTTCTGCACAGATCCTGTCAGACCTGGGCCCTGAGAGTAAATCTCTGTAAGACAAAAATAATGGTGTTCCAAAAAAGGTCCAGTTGCGAGGACCACAAATACAAATTCCATCTAGACACCGTTGCCCTAGAGCACACAAAAAACAATACATACTGTACCTCGGCCTAAGCATCAGCGCCACAGGTAACTTCCACAAAGCTGTGAACGATCTGAGAGACAAGGCAAGAAGGGTCTTCTATGCCATCAAAAGGAACATAAAATTGGACATACCAATTACGATCTGGCTAAAAATACTTGAATCAGTTATAGAACCCATTTCCCTTTATGGTTGTGAGGTCTGGGGTCAGCTCACCAACCAAGAATTCACAAAAAGGGACAAACACCAAATTGAGACTCTGCATGCAGAATTCTGCAAAAATGTCCTCTGTGTACAACGAAAAACACAAAATAATGCATGCAGAGCAGAATTAGGCCTATACCCGCTAATTATCAAAATCCAGAAAAGAGCCGTTAAATTCTATAACCACTTAAAAGGAAGCAATGTCCAAACCTTCCATAACAAAGCCATCACCTACAGAGATATGAACTTGGAGAAGAGTAAGCTGGTCCTGGGGCTCTGTTCACAAACACAAACAGACCCCACAGAGCCCCAGGACAACAACACAATTAGACCCAACCAAATCATGAGAAAACAAAAAGATAATTACTTCAACTACCTCAACTAGCCGGTGCCCCCGCACATTGACTCTGCACCGGTACCCCCCTGTATATATAGCCTCCCGACTGTTATTTTATTTTACTTCTGCTCTTTTTTTCTCAACACTTTTTTTGTTGTTGTTTTATTTTACTTTTTTATTAAAAATAAATGCACTGTTGGTTAAGGGCTGTAAGTAAGCATTTCACTGTAATGTCTGCACCTGTTGTATTCGGCGCATGTGGCTAATACGATTTGATTTGATTTGATTTGACACATTGGAAAGAATTAACAAAAAAACTGAGCAAACTAGAATGTTATTTGGCCCTAAGCAGAGAGTACACAGTGGCAGAATACCTGACCACTGTGACTGACCCAAATTTAAGGAAAGCTTTGACTATGTACAGACTCAGTGAGCATTGCTATTGAGAAAGGCCACCATAGGCAGACCTGGCTCTCAAGAGAAGACAGGCTATATGCACACTGCCCACAAAATGAGGTGGAAACTGAGATGCACTTCCTAACCTCCTGCCAAATGTATGACCATATTAGAGACACATATTTCCCTCAGATTACAGAGATCCACAAAGAATTCAAAACCCAATTTTGATAAACTCCCTTATCTACCGGGTGAAATACCACAGTGTGCCATCACAGCAGCAAGATTTGTGACCTGTTGCCACAAGAAAAGGGCAACCAGTGAAGAACAAACACCATTGTAAATACAATCCCTTTTGTACTTTAACTATTTGCAACCCATATTTATATTTATTTATTTTCCCATTTGTACTTTAACTATTTGCACATTGTTACAACACTGTATATATACATAATATGACATTTGAAATGACTTTATTCTTTTGGAACTTCTGAGTGTAATGTTTCATGTTAATATTTATTGTTTATTTCACCTTTGTTTACTATCTACTTCACTTGCTTTGGCAATGTTAACATACGTTTCCCATGCCAATAAAGCCCTTGAGTTGTTATTGAATTGAATTGAATTGAATTGAATTGAGAGAGACAGCGAGAGAGAGAGAAAGAAAGAAACTTGAATCTGATTGGCTAGACTGCGTCTGTCTACGCCCATCGTGTTTATCATTGGCTGTCGCGTGATTCCAACCGTCGGAGTCTGCGCATTGAACACAGCACTGAAATTCAAATGTTGAACTGATCTGTTTGTTAAAGAAAAGGAGGAACGAATCGAGGCGTCTGGAGAAACGACGGCTGAGAAGCTGTCCGCGTTTGGTGAATTAGGATAGATAAACGACGATTATTCAATATTGCTAAGTCAATAGATTTTAACAAAGATAAACTCTTATCGGAATGGATCCGTTTACCGAGGTGAGTGCACAGTTTGTTTCTAAGCTAGCAAGTTACGGGTAACAGCTAGCTAAGGTAGCTGCCATGGCCAGCTAAGGTAACACGTTAGCCAACAAAACATTGTTTCTTGTTGCAGTGCATGAAGATGGTAAACTTGTTTGATAGTCACTGTAAAGCCCATATTTGGTCACGTTAACTTACTAGCTAGTGTTTAAGTTAGCTGGTTACGGTTGCTAGCTAGCTGGTAGTAACTTTGGGACACAACAGCGGAAGTCTGTGTATTGGTTGGAGTCAAACTAATACAGACTCCAGACGTTGTGTCCCATAGCTAGGTAACTAGTAACTACCTCAACTTGTTCTTCAACAAATGTGGATTTAAATATCTTAACTAACTAGTGTTGCTAGGTTGCTAACTTTGGCTTTATTCAAATGTATAACCCTAACGTCAACTGAAAGTTGTTGGAAACGTTGCTAGCTAACGTTAGATAGCCAAGTCAAATATTATAGAAGCGACATCTAAACCCCGACACCTTCCATACCGTATATCATTTTATAGCTGAAGTTAGCTAGCTACCTTTCATCTTCATAATACTGTTCTAAAATTGCATGCCAGCATAAGGCAGTCAGATTGTCATCTTGTCAAAAAAACTCAGCCCCTCCCCTAACGTGCGAGCAGGGAGAGAGGAATCTAGCGAATAATGGATTCGTTAGTCAAAACTACAGTATGACGAAGAGAATAGTATGAATACAGGAATAAGTGTTTTCCTCCTTCATTTCCATACAACAGCTGTCGGTCAATTTCACTTTCTGATGCACTCTTGTCAACTTTATCAATTTGATCAAATGTGCCAGGAGTGAGTGGATAATTTATTATTATATTTAAATCACTCCAGTTTGGAACTAAGTGTGTTTCATGACAATTCGGATATAGAAAAAACAGTGGCAGGCAGCAGTATACAAAATCCCTCAAATTTCCATTCCAACCAATAGAAATGCCCGGGAGATTTCAAATCCAGTAGCTGCAACAGTCAGGAGTGGCTCATTCTTAAGGAATGACACACACTTTGTAACAAGTTTTCCACACAGCCTGGCTTGATGAGAGATGCTCAGGCAACTGAAACAGTCAGGAATGTGTTGAGTCTTGCACTGTATCAGCCAGGGCTCTTGCCCAGGTCAATAAATCATGCCTCAGGACTGTTTGCCCTTGACTGGGAGGCCAGCTAGGGTTTTGGTGTACATATGAGAACAGATGGGAGAAGAGGCCAGGGAGAAGGAGTTTAGAGACAACTGCAGCCTTTTATCTCCCCCAGAACAAGTAGTTTTTCTTGACCCTGTGACATGGACTAAAACATTTTCACTATTCTAAAACCATAGACCCCCGCCATCCACTGCTCACTATGGGTGCAATAAAGCAGAAAAGGAAAATGTACTGAAATGTCACTAACTTAAGTTTACGGTGGTGTGGAATGTCCCTCAGTATGTCACTTTTATCTGTGCTAGTCAGTGCTGTACAGATGGTAAGTCAGGCTACTCCTGAGTTATGTTCTTATTAGATTAATTTAAATTATAAGAGAAAAACAAGAATTGGTGCAGACAGTGCTTTTAAATGGAAATGTGTTGTATTTTGTAATAGTGTATTTTTGCCTGTTCAGAAACTCCTGGAGAGGACCCGTGCTCGCAGGGAGAACCTGCAGAAGAAGATGGCAGAGAGGCCCACTGCTGCTAACAGACAGATGGCCAAGCGAGCTAGGGAGCCTCTGGCTGAGACCCGCAACAGCCTGGTCACAGAGCCTGTCATCGAAAAAGGTATGATCTTACACATTTATTCTCAATGTGATACATCATCATTTCTCAAATTCATTTTATTTGCTACCCCAGTGTTCCCTCTGGCTGCGATAGTAAGTATTGCATTGATGGGAATTATTTTAATTTAAACTGTAGGTGGCTCCATTAGCCTTTAGGAGGTGGTTGAACTTCCTGCCCTGCACATGCATAGCTTTCCATACAGGAAGCTTGACCTTTGTAACGGCTCACTGAGAATGCTCTGTTCAAATCAAATCAGAGGAATGGGTCTAGGGCTGCAGCTTTCCCTATGCTGTATTCAAATATAGACAAAATGGTGATGTTTCAGATCGTATGTATATTTGTGAGCTTTAATATGATACTCAAGGCAAATATTTAAATTCATTTTGCGGATTGGAAATCTCCCAGTGTGTAAACTTAACTCATGGTCTTTCTCACTTGACCCCCCTAGCCCCCCACCCGTCCACCAAGCCCTCTCCCTCAAAGCGGAGTCGTTCAGGTGAACTTGGTCAGCCCACCATTATTGGTGAGGAGAACAGGGAGCCTTCGATGACTCCTCACACTCTGACAGACCCCCAGACTGACCGGAAGCCCCCAACAGGCCCAGCCAGCATCCGCTCTTCTCTGGAGAGGGTGGCTGTCCGCGCTCCCGTTCCTGAACCAGAGCCCATGGTGGCAGCACAGCTTGTCCCAGAGCAGGTCAAGTCCAGGGAGGTAGCACGCCCTGCCCCAGAACCAGAGAAGGTAGCTGTGAGTGCTGCTCCACAGCCACAGAGGACCAGGAATGTGGAGGTGGTCCCTGCTAGCCCGGTTCTTCAGAGGAACAGAGAAGAGCAGAGGGAGGCTCCCACCTCCTCTACCCCTGCTGCCATGAAGTCTCGCCTGGCCAGACTGGCTGAACAGAGGCAGTACTGGGACGCTGAAGGTCAATTTCATTTGTACATGTAGCACCTGCTTAACCTTTATAGATCACCCGAAAACCAAAACGTTTACACAACTTCTAATATGAGTTTGGAATGGGACTACAACAATCATATTAAAAACATATTTGCTTTTGGCTGACAAAAATGAATGTGTATGTTTTTCCCTTTAAGGTACCTCTGAGGTTCCAGACATCCCAGCAGCTCTGTCCCCAGTAAAGAGCCAGACCCAACTAAGGCAGGCTGTGGCCCCGATCCCCGCACCCGTCCCTGCTGCTGCGTCCTCAGAAGCCCCCATGGGCCGGAAGGGTCGGCTGGCCAACCTCGCTGCCAGCATTGGGTCCTGGGAGGACGACCTCGGCCATGTGGCCCCTTGCAGCAGAGACAATGCACAAGGGAAGCCTGGTAGTTTCAGTACCGTCACCCCTGCTTGGAGGAGAGAGGCTGGTGCTGGAGCCAAACCCGTCTCTGCTGCTGCAGACCGGACACAAATGAGTCAGACATCAAACAGCAAGCCTGTTCTGGACTCCAACCAGGTGAGTCATAATGTGACAGTTGGCTTAGTTATTAATCATGATGTACATAACTGTTGTGTGAGTAATATGTCCATGCATGGGAGAGACTGATTCTATAGAGAAGATTAAGATACGAAGTGGTGATGCTTTGCAAGAAAGCGATGTGCAGTAACAACTTATTTTAAATAGTTGTGTCATCGCACATGCACAATACTTTTTGCGATTTTCTGAATAGTTTGGTTAATAATTTCTCTCTTGCATTTCTTCAGCAGCCTTTCAACTCCACCAAAGCGGTTCCCCCCAGCCCACAGAAGACTGAAGTACCTGAAGCCAGACCAGCTCGACAGACAGGCAGAGGTCTCCCCTCTCCTGTATCCAGTCTCCAGAGGAGTTACCAGGGGAGAGCCTCAGCCTTCACCCCCAGCCCCCAGAAAGGTGCTCCCTCCTCAGCCTCACCTGTGCCTCAGAGCCCTCTGAAGAACCAGGCCCTGTCCCGAGCCCTGGAGGTCAATGCTAGCCCCAAGAATCCCGAGCTCCCCACCAAGCCCTCTAACACTGGGCCCTCTGTCCTGCAGACCAGGGAGAGGTTCACCAATGAGACTTCCCCGGCCACTCCCCTGCAGCAGAGAGGCGTCGCAGGAGCAACTGGAACTCCAGGTGAGCGAGAATGAGCATTCAATTTAGCTTTGTATTTCCTACGCTAAAGTTTACATCTTATTAGATTGTTCTGGAATAGCAGATGTTTTAATACGCAGTCTCTGCTCATTTGTCCATTGCTGTGTTTCAAACATGTTTAAGTCCTCTTCCATTGTTCTCCCAAGAGTTTCTAAATATTTGTCTGTTTCCAACAGGTGTCAAGTCGTTCATGGAGCGTTTTGGGGAGAGGTGCCAGGAGCGCTCCGGCCTGAGTTCCGCTGATACCAGCCATGGAGCTGCCACTCGTACCCCGACCGTAGTGAACCCGTCTGGGGCAGGCCTTGCTGGTCGTACCCCTGTGGTGAGCCAGTCTGGGACCCCCAACACCAGGCTGGTGCAGGAGACGCTGAGAGCTGCCCAGGTTGCCAACACCACCACCGCTGACCTCGCGCAGAAACTGGTACGTACAGTCTTAGTTTTGCCTTTGTACAGCACTTTGGCATTTATTTTTGTTATAAATAGCTCTTTTGAAAATAAAAGTATTACACATGTATTATGACATTTGTTTTGTGACCAGAATGTTGACAAATTGATGAAAAATCGTAATTTTCTTGTTCTTTATCGCAGGAGCGTGAGTCGGAACTGGCTCATATTCGTAACCGCTTCCAGAAAGGGAACAACATTTGGAAGAACAAGGATGAAGAGGCAGACGCCAAGAGAAACACAGTGGCCAAGGTTGGTGGTGAAGTATATTTATTTCGACCACGGTTGGACCAAACTTCATATGTGCAGACTGTTGTATGATGGACGACTGCAAAGCAGTTAGAAAGGAAATGTTAAATGAGCCTGTAGTAATTTTTCTCAGGATCTGATTGAGCAGCCTGGGGAGAGACGGCCTGTTGTCTCCCAGCCTGATGCTGAGCCAACAGCTTCCCCTCTGGATAGCCTGAATGCAGCACCCAAGAAACCCAATGTACCTGCTGCCACCACCCCAACCTCTAGCCCTGTGAAGCGAGTAGAATTCTCAGTGGAGGAATCAGGTACTGTACATAGTATACTACTTGATCATACCAACTTGGATTTCTATGAGTACACTGATCATAAAAATAAGTCTTCAGACGCTTGAATCAGATGCAAGTTACAGCGTTTTAATGTCCTAATGTTTCAGTCAACAAAAAAATTAATTAGAGCAGTCATCCTTAAAATCTACGTTTATACTGATGCCGTCACTATATAATATTCCACTCACGATTGTCTCACTGCAGACGAAGAGAGTCATGAGAGAGAGGTGAACGTGGACCAGTCCATCAACTCTGATGTGATCAACGGGATCTTTGACGGGGTCCATGACCAGAGCGAGGTGCAGAGTGGTGAGGAGGAAGATAAATTGAACATTTCCTCTATGTCCATCCTGGCCCCCTTCTCTGAGACTGTGGCTTCTGTGGTCAAGAGCCCAGTGAGGAAGATGATGGTCAGTTACAGCGCAAAGCTGGAAAAAAAACTACAAGCATACAAAAATATTTCAGCCATTTAATGTCTTGGATGTACAACTGTGTTTTAATGCAAGCTTGTCATATGTTAATTGCGCCCATTGACTAGATATAATGTTATGGCCAATTGTATTTTTTTTGGGATAACCTAATTACTTTTTCATGTATATCCCTACCCAGACGTCAACCCCAGCCAGTTCGTTCAACGCTAAGAGCCAGACTCCTGACAGTGTTTCCAGACCCAGTAAGTTCCAGAGGGCTCACATGCTCCGGGCCGGGTCATCAGACAGCCTAGAAGAGACAGACGAACATGATGGCCACAACCTGCCCTACAGGTAACCAATCAATCAAATTGATTTATAAAGCCCTTTTTACATCAGCAGATGTCACAAAGTGCTATACAGAAACCCAGCCTAAAACCCCAAACAGCAAGCAATGCAGATGTAGAAGCACGGTGGCTAGGAAAAACTCCCTAGAAAGGCAGAAACCTAGAGGAACCAGGCTCTGAGGGGTCGCCAGTCCCCTTCTGGCTGTGCTTACATTTACATTTTCGTCATTTAGCAGACGCTCTTATCCAGAGCGACTTACAAATTGGTGCATTCACCTTATGATAGCCAGTGGGACAACCACTTTACAATATTTTTTATATATCTATTTTTGGGGGTGGGGGGGCGTTAGGTAAGGGTGGGTAGAAGGATTACTTTATACTATCCCAGGTATTCCTTAAAGAGGTAGGGTTTCAAGTGTCTCCGGAAGGTGGTGAGTGACTCCGCTGTCCTGGCGTCGTGAGGGAGCTTGTTCCACCATTGGGGTGCCAGAGCAGCGAACCGTTTTGACTGGGCTGAGCGGGAACTGTGCTTCCGCAGAGGTAGGGGGGCCAGCAGGCCAGAGGTAGATGAACGCAATGCCCTCGTTTGGGTGTAGGGACTGATCAGAGCCTGAAGGTACGGCGGTGCCGTTCCCCTCACAGCTCCGTAGGCAAGCACCATGGTCTTGTAGCAGATGCGAGCTTCAACTGGAAGCCAGTGGAGTGTGCGGAGGAGCGGGGTGGCGTGAGAGAACTTGGGAAGGTTGAACACCAGAAGGGCTGCGGCGTTCTGGATGAGTTGTAGGGGTTTAATGGCACAGGCAGGGAGCCCAGCCAACAGCGAGTTGCAGTAATCCAGACGGGAGATGACAAGTCCCTGGATTAGGACCTGTGCCGCTTCCTGTGTAAGGCAGGGTCGTACTCTGCGAATGTTGTAGAGCATGACCATGTGCTGGGTGGAGATTATAACAGTACATGGCCATTAAGGCCAGATTTTTCTCCAAGATGTTCAAAAGTTCATAGATGACCAGCAGGGTCAAATAATAATCACAGTGGTTGTAGGGGTTGCAACAGGTCAGTACATCAGGAGTAAATGTCACTTGGCTTTTCATAGCCGGACATTTAGAGGTTGAAATAGCAGGTGCAGTAGAGAGAGAGAGTTGAAAACAGTAGGTCTGGGACAAGGTAGCACGTCCGGTGAACAGGTCAGGGTTCCATAGCCGCAGGCAGGAGAGTTGAAACTGGAGCAGCAGCATGACCAGGTGGACTGGGGACAGCAAGGAGTCATCAGGCCAGGTAGTCCTGAGGCATGGTCCTAGGGCTCAGGTCCTCCGGGAGGGGGAAATAAAGAATTAGAGGGAGTATACTTAAATTCATACCGGATAAGACAGGAGAATAACACCAGATATAACAGACTGACCCTAGCCCCCCGGCACATAGACTATTGCAGCATAGATACTGGAGGCTGAGACAGGGGGTCGGGAGACGCTGTGGCCCTGTCCGGACAGGGCCAACCAGGCAGGATATAACCCCACCCACTTTGCCAAAGCACAGCCCCCACACCACCAGAGGGATATCAACAGACCACCAACCTACTACCCTGAGACAAGGCTGAGTATAGCCCACGATGATCTCCTCCACTACACGAGCCCGAGGTGGCGACAAACCGAACAGGAAGATCACGTCAGTGATTCAACCCACTCAAGTGACGCACCCCTCCTGGAGACTGCATGGAAAGCACCAGTAAGCCTGTGACTCAGCACCCTTAATAGGGTCAGAGGCAGATAATCCCAATGGAGAGATGGGAACCGGCCAGGCAGAGACAGCAAGGGCGGTTCGTCGCTCCAGTCCGTTCACCTTCGCACCCCTGGGCCAGACTACACTCAATCATAGGACCTACTGAAGAGATGAGTCTTCAGTAAAGAAGAGACCGAGTCTCTCTCACATGGATAGGCAGACCATTCCATAAAAATGGAGCTCTATAGGAGGAAGCCCTGCCTCCAGCTGTTTGCTTAGAAATTCTAGGGACAATAAGGAGGCCTGTGTCTTGTGACCGTAGCGTACGTGTAGGTATGTACGGCAGGACCAAATCGGAGAGATGGGTAGGAGCAAGCCCATGTAATGCTTTGTAGGTTAGCAGTAAAACCTAGCACTGGAGTAATATGATAATTTTCTGGGGTTCTAGTCAAGATTCTAGCAGCCGTGTTTAGCACTAACTGAAGTTTATTTAGTGCTTTAGCCGGAGAGTAGAGCATTGCGGTAGTCTAATCTAGAAGTGACAAAAGCATGGATTAGCTTTTTGAGTTAAGTTTCTGATTTTTGCAATGTTATGAAGATGGAAAAAGCGGTCCTTTAAATGTTCTTGATATGTTCGTCAAAAGAGGGATCAGGCTCCAGAGTAACGACCAAGGTCCTTCAGTTATTAAATTTTTTTTGGAGACTCATCAAGATTTATTGTCAGATCCAACAAAAGATCTCTTTGTTTCTTGTGACCTAAAACTAGCATCTCTGTTTTGTCCGAGTTTAAAAGTAACACATTTGCCGCCATCCACTTCCTTATGTCTGAAACACAGGCTTCCAGGGTAGACAATTTTGGGGCTTCAACATGTTTCATCAATGTACAGCTGCGTGTCGTCCACATAGCAATGAAAGTTAACATTGTTTCCAAATGACATCACCGAGAGGTAAAATGTATAGTGAAAACAATAGTGGTCCAAAAACGGAACCTTGAAGAACACCGAAACTTACAGTTGATTTGTCAGAGGATAAACCATCCACAGAGACTAACTGAATCTTTTCGACAGATAAGATCTAAACTAGGCAAGAACTTGTCCGTGTAGACAATTAAGGTTTCCAATCTCTCCAAAAGAATGTGTTGATTGATGGTGTCAAAAGCAGCACTTACGCTTCGAACACACCGACTGCGTCATTGCGTTTTGGTACACCAGAAGTACATTAATTTCCAATGGAAAGCTGTGTTTGCCTTGCAGCATTGCGTTGCAGGGGCAGTTGCAGTGCGTTGTGTGTGTGTGTGGTGCATACGTTGGATTTATCAAATGTATGCGGCAAACTGTATGCGTACAGTTGACAGAAATGGTAGCAGAAGGTGAATGTTGAACTTTTGTTGCCCACATCTAGATGATGCTGCATACTATTTTGCGCAATGACTCAGTCGGTGTGTTCATAGCGTAAGGTCTAGGAGCACGAGGACAGATGCAGAGCCTTGGTCTGACGCCATTTAAAAGGTAATTTACCACCTTCACGAGTGCAGTCTCAGTGCTATGATGGCGTCTAAAACCTGACTAAAGCGTTTCGTAAACATTATTTGTCTTCAGGAAGGCAGTGAGTTGCTGCACAACAGCTCTTTCAAAAAATTGGAGGAATGGGAGACTTGATATAGGCTGATAGTGTTTTACATTTCTGGGTCAAGGTTTGGCTTTTTCAAGAGAGGCTTTATTAATGCCACTTTTAGTGAGTGTTACACATCCAGTGGAAGCCATTTATGTTCAACATAGGAGGGCCAAGCACATGAAGTAGCTCTTTCAGTAGTTTAGTTGGAATAGGGTCCAGTATGCAGCTTGACGGTTGAGGCAATGACTATTTTCATGAATGTGTCGATATAGGATAAAAAAAACTTGAGTGTCTCCATTGATCCTAGGTCCTGGCAGTTTTGTGCTGACTCAGGACAACTGAGCTTTGGAGAAATATGCAGATTCAAAGAGGAGTCTGTAATTTGCTTTCTAATGATCATGATCTTTTCGTCGAAGAAGTTCATGAATTCATCACTGCTGAAGTGAAAGGCATCCTCTCTTGGGGAATGCTGCTTTTTAGTTAGCTTTGCGACAGTATCAAATATACATTTTTGATTGTTCTTATTCTTCTCAATTAGGTTGGGAAAAATAGGATGATCGAGCAGCAGTGAGGGCTCTATGATATTGCACTGTACTTTATTTCCAAGCTAGTAGGAAGACTTCCAGTTTGGTGGAAAGCCATTTTCGTTCCAATTGTCTGGAAGCTTGCTTCAGGGCTCTGGTATTTTCTGTATACCAGGGAGCTAGTTTCTTGTGCCAAATGTTTTTTGTTTTTAGGGGTGCAACTGCATCTAGGGTATTACGCAAGGTTAAATTTAGATCCTCGGTTAGGTCGTTAACTGATTTTTGTACTCCGACGTCCTTGAGTAGGTGAGGTGGAGGGAGTCTGGAAGGACCTCTAGGAATCTTTGGGTTGTCAGAGAATTTATAGCACAGCCTTTGATGATCCTTGGTTGGGGTCTGAGCAGATAATTTGTTGCGATTGCAAATGTAATAAGATGGTGGTCCGATAGTCCAGTATTATGAGGAAAAACATTTTGAGCCACTATTTATTCCATGAGACAAAACTAGATCCAGGGTATGACTGGCAATGAGTAGGTCCGGAGACATGTTGGACAAAACCTACTGAGTCGATGATGGCTACGTAAGCTTTTTGGAGTGGGTCTGTGGACTTTTCCATGTGAATATTAAAGTCACCCAAAATTAGAATATCTGCCATGACTACAAGGTCCAATAGGAATTCCGGGAACTCAGTGAGGAACTCTGAATACGGCCCAGGAGGCCTGTAAACAGTAGCTATAAAAAGTGATTGAGTAGGCTGCATAGATTTCATGACTAGAAGCTCAGAAGACGAAAATGCAGTAATGTTGGGGCGGGGTAAATTGAAATTTGCTGTCGTAAATGTTAGCAACACCTCCGCCTTTGCGGTATGCATGGGGGATGTGGTCACTAGTGTAACTAGGAGGAGAGGCCTCATTTAACACAGTAAATTCATCAGGCTTAAGCCATGTTTCAGTCAGGCCAATCACATCAAGATTATGATCAGTGATTAGTTCATTGACCATAACTGCCTTGGAAGTGAGGGATCTAACATTAAGTAGCCGTATTTTGAGATGTGAGATATCACAATCTCTTTCAATAATGACAGGACTGGAGGAGGTCTTTATTCCAGTGAGATTGCTAAGGCAAACACTGCCATGTTTAGTTTTGCTCAACCTAGATCGACGCACAGACACGGTCTCAATGGGGATAGTTGAGCTGACTACACTGACTGTGCTAGTGGCAGACTCCACTATGCTGGCATGCTGGCTATCAGCCACTAACCAGGTAAAGCCACATACCCAAACTGGTGCCTTACTGAATTCATGGTATCTGTAATGTAACTGGCTGAGCTTCACCACTTCAACTGATACACCAACAACTTTTCTATTTGACATTTAGTTTCACTGAGTTCAAGATGCAACTAGTCACGATACTTAGGTGCTGATATGAATCGATAGTATTGCGATACTCACGATTCTATATGTATTGCGATTTGATGTTCCAAACATACTGCTCACTATGTCTGCTGCGGAGAGACGAGAGAGCATGAGAACTCGTTTTCATCAGTCTGAAATAAAAGCATTGAACATGTTGGCTCACTATTTAAAAAGAAGCTGGAGAACAAGCTATAGGATAAAAATACAGGCGTTTTGCCGCAGGTACAGCCTACTAACGCTACCTACAGTAGCAAATTTGTTTTAATATTTCTGTCTTCAAATCGATACTTGGACTGAAATATTGATATAATATCGTCCAAAAATAATATTGCCATATTGAACTATCGGTTTTCCCCCCACCCCCATCACTAGATACAACCTCTAACTATTTTCTTAGTTCATCCAGACCCTTGTATCCAATTAACACCATTTTGATACTCATTTTTTTTACGGAAGCAAAGCATCCCTCCATGTTCACTCTTTCCATACAAGCATTTCGCTACACCCGCAATAACGTTTTCCTTTCTCTTCTAGTATTGATGCGTACAGGTCGACCAGGATCAAGGATAGTACGGAGAGGCCTCGTGTGAAGCAGGTCATCGTGAGGAAGGAGGAGATGTCTCGTAGAGCAGCAGAGGAACCCAGGAGCCAAGGACACACCAGCATCAAACAGAAGATGAAGGTAAAGGCACGGACAGACCGGTAGGATTGTTGAGCGTCTGTCGGCCGAGAGTACTTAGCACCTCTGAACAGAGTGCCGGCTGTAATTTGCAAACTGATTCCACATGTAGAAACGGACAATGGTCCCTATAACACACCGCGCTGACAGCGAACGAATGGCCCCATACTGTGCAGACTGACAGTCGCTCTGGATAGAAGCTGGCTCGGTAACACAATGCCAGAAGAAGAACAACTTACTTCAGAGGTGACCCTGTCATACTGTTAGGAATAGTAAGGGATCTAGTAGTAGTAGAGGGTATAATATCTCAGACTCTACAAAAACCAGACTTCATAGAATCAAGTGTAAGTGCTCTGAGTGCAAAATATATTACCTCTTTCCCCTTCATTCCATGTAGGTTCTTCTGACCACTGATGTTGATTTCCTCATTCCATGTGACCAGTGATGTCTTCTTTCTGATTCCTTGTAGGTTCTGACAAATGAGATGAACCTGCAGCAGACCGTGATCAGCCAGGCCAGCCAAGCTCTGAACTGCTGTACTGATGAGGAGCATGGGAAAGGCTCGCAGGTGGAGGCAGAGGCTGAGAGGCTGCTGCTTATAGCCAGTGAGTTTCTCTTCCACCTCGACAACATGGGTGCACACACTGACCGCCAATCCCAATTTGCGCCATACCCCTTGGGACCGGCTGTGATATCTTGAGATTATTGACATTTCGCATAAACATTGCATTGTTTTCTTCAGTCTTTTCTTACATGTATTTTTCTTGTCTCCCTCCAGCGGAGAAGCGGGGGGCTCTGAAGGTGGAGCTAGACCGTCTGAAGGGAGAGGGTCCTAGTGGTCAGAGGAGGGGGCAGGGTGGGGACATGGGGGTTACAGCCTCCAAGGGATCCATCTCCCTCCTGGAGCTACGACTGCCCCTCAAAGCTGACTTCGTCTGCTCCACTGCTAACAATCCAGGTAGAGACCCAACAATTGTTACTTGATTATCTCTTCTTTTTTTTACTAATGTTTTGTAGTGTGTAATGTGCCTGCGACCAAATTGCCTTTCGTGGACAAAGTTCTATTGAACTCCTGTTTCCCACATTGTACTGTCAAAAACCAGATACAAATGTACATTTCTCAATCCAATTGTAATATACGTTTACATTTTAGTCATTTAGCAGACGCTCTTATCCAGAGCGACTTACAGTTAGTGAGTGCATACATTTTCATACTGGCCCCCCCGTGGGAAACGAACCCACAACCCTGGTGTTGCAAGCGCCATGCTCTACCAACTGAGCTACATGTATAGTGTGTTAGACTGAAGTCATTACGTTTTCCACTTTATAACTGTGTTTATTCCAGAGTCGTCAAGCCATTACTTCTTCATCATGATCCGTGCTGGAGCTGAGAATACAGTTGCTACTCCCCTGGCCAGCACACGTAGCGCTATCAGTGGAGACGCAATCACCTTCTCTACCAAGTTCACCATGTCAGTTAATTACAGATTCTCTCTCTGAAATTCTGTAGAATAGAACCACTGTCATGCATGCATGTCATTCCCCATACATGTTCTAATGCCTTTCTCTGTCTGTCTTCCATTTTAGGCCTGATGTCTCTAACGACTTCGCAATTGATATTGAGGTTTACTGCCTGGTGAGTTCTTGCTGCTTTTGGCAAATGCAGATGTTATTGTTTGAGGAGGACTGACTTCTTTGAGCTGAGATATTACTCTAACCATGTTTATTTCTTCAGGTGCAGAAGCGTGAGTTGAACCCTGACAAGAGGAAGAAGCCCAGCAAGTCAAAGGTAGTTAGATTTTCTCAAATGTGCCAAAACAAACTACAAATCAGTTTATTGAATGTTGGAACTGAGCATAGTCTTGTATCTTGGCAGCTAGTTTCTGCTTGAATACACTGCGATTCCTGTGCATCAGAATATGCATTTAGAGCAGGGGTGTCAAACTCATTTTAGCTCAGGGGCCACATGGAGGAAAATCTATTCCCAAGAGGGCCGGACCGGAAAAATCATGGTGTATATATATATAACTTAAAAACAACAACTTCAGATTGTTTTCTTTCTTTTAATACGATCAACATACAACATAAAGCTGGAGCCTGAGGACAGTGTGTCCAAAATAGTACAAGCACAACATCACTATTAATCATAAAACACGTCAAGTTTATTTGAAAATTATAAAGAAAAAGAACGTAAACACACAATGCCTCAGTGATTAACAGAACTGTTTCACAGATCACAGAACTATATCAGGGTGTCATTTCTCAGGCAGAAATGTAGATAAAAATAATGAAATCCTGTTCCCCAAACAAGTGCAAGAACCACAGAGTCAAGAATAGGTTAAATATACAAATAAAATAAAATCAATTAAAAACAATAGCACATCAACATAAAAACATATAAACATAAATCTGAAAGCGTTGCTCAAACTCCCGTAACAGTCCCGTTATTTTATCTTTGAACCGCTTCATGTCTGCCACATGTTGGGTCGCGCACACATTTTTCAGACAGGGGAAGTGAGCTGCATCACCACCGGCAAGTTGCGTCTCCCACAATGACAGCTTCAACTTGAAAGAACGTATGCTGTCATAATACTGCGTGACAACTTTGTTGCGCCCTTGCAGATGTTTGTTCAAGTTATTCAGGTGCTCTGTAACATCCACCATAAATGCAAGGTCCTGCATCCATTCTGCGGAATGAAATTCTAACACTGGTTTGCCCTTTTCTTCCATGAACTGTTCAATTTGTTCTCGTAAATTAAAGAAACGCCTCAGCACCTCGGCTTAACCATCTTACCTCAGTGTGGTATGGCAGGCCATAGATGTGGTCTTTCTCTCTGAGAAGGCTGTCAAACTGACGGTGATTCAGGCTTCTGGATTGGATGAAATTAACAGTTTGGATGACCACCTTCATGACGTTATCCATCTTTAATGACTTGCAACACAAAGCCTCCTGGTGCAAAATACAGTGAAAAGTCAAAAAATCACGTCCTCCATTTGCAGATTGCACTTTCTCTCTGAACTTTGTCACAACGCCTGCTTTTTTCCCGATCATTGAGGGCGTACCATCTGTAGCCAGGCTGACAGCGCGGGACCAGTCCACTCCGACCCTGTCCAGCGCGCCGACGAGTGCGGTAAAAATATCAGCTGCTGTCGTTGTATCTGTCATCGGCACCAACTCCACGAACTCCTCGGTGACGGTCAATGTGTCATCAACTCCGCGGATGAAAATGGCCAGTTGTGCAACATCTGTAATGTCCGTGCTTTCATCAATTGCAACCGAAAACGCAATAAATGACTTTACTTTTTGCTTCAACTGGCTGTCCAAACCCACTGAAAGATCGGAAATCCTGTCTGCAACTGTGTTTCTTGTCAGGCTGATATTTGCAAAAGCCTGCCGCTTTTCAGGGCACACAATCTCCGCTGCCTTCATCATGCATGTTTTTACAAATTCACCCTCACTAAATGGTTTTGAAGCCACTGCGATTTCATTAGCAATGAGGTAGCTAGCTTTCACTGCAGCGTCACTGTCTCGGCTGTGAGTAAACACAGACTGCTGTTTCTTCAGACCCGCCAACAGTTCATTCACCTTCTCTCATCTCCGCTGTCCTTGAAAGTTGTCATATTTGTCGGCATGAAGACTCACATAGTGGCGACGAAGGTTATATTCTTTCAGCATAAATAGGATGACCATTTTTCTTGGAACACTCTGCACTCTGCGTCCACTTTTCTCTTTTTTGACAGAGACATATTGGGGCAATGAGGGTGCCAAAGCACATAATGTTAAAAGTAGAAGCCGTAATAAATATCGCGGGCAAAACAAAGTAGCTCATTGGCTGCATGTGCTTGACCTACTTGCTCTGCCCCGGTATAAACAGTTTGCTTGCTTAACACAATTGCTATTGCGCCATCCAGTGGACGCAATTGGAACAGCAGTTTATTTTATTGAAAAATTGCAGCGCATTTTTATACTTTACAAAATTATTATTATTTATTTTTTCAAAATCATCTCGCGGGCCGGATTAAACCCGTTTGCGGGCCTGATCCGGCCCGCGGGCCGGACGTTTGACACCCCTGATTTAGAGCATTGCATTTAGAGCTATTTTCAAACAACGTCCCGTCTCTAAGATGAGATGGTGTGTGTTCAGATGCTCCGGAGGCATGTTCATGAGGCCCTTGAGTTGTGCTTGTCGGTATGGACTGATTTTAAAACCCTACTCACCTTTTGGTGTGGGTGTACTGTAATGTTACTACTCGGTAGTAGAACACAGCTAACACTAGGCCTACCAGGCCCTGGGCCTACTGCTGCCATCACACACATTAGGCTTTCAGGCTCCACTTCTTTTCATTCCAACACATGGTGAAAGGTCCCTTGTTGTAGGATGGAAGGCTTTGTTCACAGCTCACAATGGCATAGTTGGCTTAGTCAGTGATTTGAGTTAACCATTCATTCACTTGTCTGTGTCCCGACGTAACCTCTACTGAAACTGAATCACTGTTTCTCTTTCTAGGCCATCACTCCCAAGAGGTTCCTCGCCATTACTGTAAGCTTTCAATCTTACCAACCTCTAATACAGATAGTACTGCCTTGTGGTCATATGCAGAATGTTTGAACACTTACCGTATCTGTTCAGGGGGATTGGTAGGAATGATTGCCTCATGGAAAATGTAGAATTGCATCAGTGAATGCATTATAGTAATATTCTGTTACTGTGTAGGTTATGCTGTCACAAAAAAATTAAAAATATATATGTTGTATGCACAGTCAGCGATCTTGAAAATGATTCTAAACATGCCTCCTCTTTCTAACTTCTCTCTCTCTCTATTTGCCCCTGTAGAAGAGCAGTCTGACTCCAGGTAAGGATACTTCTTCGGTTGATGAATTTGGACCCTGATGTCTTGCGGTGCTTGTTTAAATAACTCTGCTGCTAGTGGATATTTTTATGAAGGTTTTACTTGCAGTTATTGTGATGTGTGGTTCTGTCTCACCTACTTAAGTTGAACTGACTTATTAATGTTGCAAGTCTCTGGATGATGATGATGTCTGCTTAAATTACAAACAAATTGCTAAAACATCCTCCTAATGCTCTTTGCAGTGGTGGCCAGTCCTGGGGGCCCTAATGCAGTCCGCACCAGTAACTTTGTCCTGGTCGGGTCTCACAAGCTAATGCTAGCCTCTATTGGGAAAAACAAGTTCTCATTGGAGAAGGTAAAATCTGAAGACTTTTGTTACATAAAAAAAAAAAAAAATTATTGAAATGTTCTAACTCCATTTTGCTTTCACTGTTGTACAATGCATTAACTTCCATTATATCCTGAATTCACCCTCTATTTCCACTTTGGCTGTATCTCTGCACACAATGCCAGCTAATGTCCAGGGTAATCATAGGGGAGGGGGTAACATTTGTAGAGTTTAGAACTGATAGTTGGCAGAGCAGGGAGACAGGCCTCCCAATCTGACAGTGTTCTTTGTTCTCCCACCTGCACGGTCTGCGTGCTACCTACCAGCCTCTGACACGTATTCACTCACACTCCTTGTTTCTCTCTTTTAGATCAAATATGAAGGCATTGAGAGAGAGCTTCTCAGAGACATGTTTCACAGCAAGGTTGCTAATTGATCCACAACCACTTTTAATATTTTGGGATTTGTGTGTGGTGGTTTGTGATAAGATAATGTGGTTCTGTTGTGGCACCAACTAACATTTCTAACCTCAATCTACAAGTTAGTTGGTATTGTCGTAAGGAAAATAAGTTGTCCTGGATATCTTTTGTATGTTGCACAGTTAATGTATCTCACCATCCATCCAATGTAATCTTCCCTACGAGAAGACAAGTCTTGCGTTTCAGTCTAAAGCCTGATTAACACAATCGGTCCTGTCACCCGATGGAAGCGTTTTGTGGAGGTGTTGGTAGTCTTTCAGCTGAGGCCTGTGTTACAACATGTCCTGTGTAATCTGTAGGTGCCTTTCCTGTGCCCCTTGGAGGGACACATCTACCTGAAGATGCAGTGTGAGGTGGGCTCCTTGGTGGAGGAGAGAGGCTTCTTGGTGAGTACACACTGTCTTTGAACTGTGTCCCCTGCGCACCGCAAGACTGTTGGCCTGCTGAGCTAAAGCCTATCAATGTATTTATAAATCCCTTTTTACACAGCAATTGCCAGTGTGTTTACAGGAACCCTGCTTAGACCACAAAGAGCAAGCAGAAGTAGAGACAAAGCCTAGGCATTCACGTCTTCATGTCTCAGTCAAGGTTTATTACACAAGCGGTTTCAATAGCCTAATCAACATCCTTCTGTTTTTCAGACGATGTTTGAGGATGTGAGTGGGTTCGGAGCGTGGCACAGGAGATGGTGTGTCCTGTCAGGATACTGTATCTCCTACTGGACCTACCCTGATGATGAGAAACGCAAGGTAAGAGAGGACGTGGAAGCCAACCTGCCTTCGATCACTATTATTGGAGCCTTTAGTCTTGAATAATAAGCCCTGTGAGCCTCATTTTGCAATACCATAGGACTCCAGTGGAAATGAGACTTCAGTCTTTGTGTTAATTCTTGATAGTTTTAATGTACCAGTATGCCAATTCATGTTTCCTCCAATTAGAGTAGCTTTTTATGTATTTTAATTGTCAATCAATTTCTCTGGACGGATCCATGTCTTTCTAGAACCCAATGGGTCGCATCAACTTGGCCAACTGCACCAGTCGTAAGGTGGAGCCAGCCAACAGGGAGTTCTGTGCCCGGCCCAACACCTTTGAGCTGATCACTGTCCGGCCTCAGCGAGAGAATGACAGAGAGACGCTCGTCAGCCAGTGTAAAAACACAATGTGTGTCACCAAGTAAGTCACTGGTCGAAGTTGCCATAGTACGCTGTGTTTTGTAGGCAAATACCTTGTGTGGAGCAATTGTTTGCAGTCATGAAGTATGATTGCTGATTTTATTACATTTAATGCACTGGAGCCCAAGTTTTCTATTTTTTGCACTCTTCTCCCTGAAGTGAGCACTTATTTACTCCCCCCTCAAAGGTTTTAAAACCATTGGATTGGTGTTTGCAGTGTCTAGTGTTAACATATTTCTTAAACCAATCCAATGCCTTCAAATCCTTCAAGTGTGAACGAGTGCACACTTCAGGAAGAAGGAAACTGAATTGGACTTGGGTCTCCAGTCCAGTATACTGAAACGCATGACATGACTCTTTACGTGTACCTGCAGGAACTGGCTGTGTGCCGACACCAAGGACGAGAGGAACCTGTGGATGCAGAAGCTCAACCAGATCCTAGTGGACTTGCGCATGTGGCAGCCAGATTCCTGCTACAGGCCTGTGTGAGCACAGCACCCCTGCCTAGACTGGAGGGCTAACACCCTGCATGGCTCTGGGTCTCTCATATGGACTGTCACTATCAGTGACACTTACGATGACTAAAGTGCAATACAGTATGAAAGTTATTGAATAAGATTTACAGGTGGATGGTATTTTTAGAGGTGCTTTAGTGGACAGTCAAGACAGTTTAAGTCCAGGGTGGGCAACTGGCGGATCAATCCCCCACCCAACTCAGTCAGGGTCTCAACTTACTGTTGAGAATTATAGTAGACACTACAAGGTGTAATTTGGTTGTGAATCAGCTGTTTTTCTCTTGTCAGTCACTGACAGTCACTCAATTAGCCCATGTCAGCTAACATTTTTTAGATTGGTTGGTAAGTTAGTCTAGCCAGCTATCTAAACTTGGAGTAATCATACTCGAATTACAGTCTGGGGGGGCATTGATTTTGTTAGTCACTCATATCATATTAACTGCAAATATTTCTCTCCGCCCATGGCAAAATGTGTAGAATTGCTGGAAATTAACAAACATTTTCTCTCTGCTGTCGAGGGCCGCTAAAATGTTTTCCTCGCAAGGTCGCTGCATGTGGTTATGGATGTGGTATGCAGACCCGCAAGCTACTGTGGCCCCTCGTGATGAGTTCAGATTTTGTGGCCACCACCCCCATCAAAGATGCCCATCCCTGGTTTAAGTTATGAGTGTGAGAGATATATCAATAAAGCCATACTTTAGTATATATTACAGTATTGACAAGGGCTGCTGTTGCTTTTACACAGTCCATGCTGACCCTGTATTTTATATGCATTTCCAAAGTGTTGGGAGGTCATAATCGTATTTGAGAGAATTTTGAGATGGTTGCATTTTAGTTTTCTATGCTGTTACTAATATGATACATCCTGCTGACGAGATATTATACGGCTTTATAGGTTGAATCGGTTTTATTAAATATTTAACTTGATGTGTCACAACCAATTCTAGAATAATCTGCGTCAGTGCCAAGGTGATGCACCAGAATTTTCTCACTATATGCATACGTGTGAATGCTCCACTTTTTCATAGTATTGGGAGAATGGCATGATTGAAAGCACTGTTGAACAACCATAACACTGAGGTTTTTAGATTTAGCCACACACTTCTCCATTCCAATACCCTTTATATATTCCCTTTGCAATCTAAGCTATAGTTAATCTTTATATTTATCATGTTGCGCACTGTGGGTAGAAACTTCTAGGCGGTCAATGAGACTACCAAACAAGAAAAACCTTAATATTGTTTTTTTATGTAAATGTTTTATATTTTTGTGTACATGTTTTAAATGGTTACAGGTCAGCAGATATGAGTATGTTTTACCACCATTATACTGTAATGGTAAACTTTGACAGTTGAGGTTATTGCAAATCCTTTTTATATGGGCAGATTTCTATTCTCATTATAGTATAGCTATACACTGTCATTAACGGCAAAGCTTATTCTCAGTCCATGTTTTAAGCATGCGCTTTGAGGACTGAGTGTGCTTTTACGGGGATGTTTTGGGGGGATAATATGCCTAATCTACCCATGAATTAATGCACAAAATGTTCTTTCTCCAAATGTTGGCAGTTCTATTATATCCTCTGATCTGTCCTGTCTAAATGTCGGCCTTTCATTGGAACAACAAGCACTCCAAATATTCCTCCGATGTACTGGTATTTCTGAAACTGAGACTTAAATAAATGCCAGCTTTAACCAAAATAGTCTGGTTTCTTTCAAGCCGATTAGGGTTGCAGTTTCATGTTCTTTAAGGTACTTTGTGTTTTTAGACTGTAGAAGAGCATGTCAATATAAAATTGGCTATGACGGGTGAGAAACTGAACAGATATTCAGTGTTAAATTGTACACAGTGACTTTTCCAAAACCTATCTACACTGAACAAAGATACTGGGCAGGGGTGCAGTCATGGGTGGGCCTCAGAGGGCATAGGACCACCCACTTGGCAGCCAGGCCCCCCCAAACAAATGTGCACAGATTTAGAGAGAATTAACCTTTGTGTGCGTATGGAACATTTCTGGGATTTTTTTATTTCAGCTCATGAAACATGGGAACAACACTTTACATGTAAAGTGTTTGTCCCATGTTTCATGAGCTGAAATCAAAATTCCCAGAAATGTTCCATATGCACAAAAAGCTTAATTCTCTCATTTTGTGCACGTTTTGGGGGGCCTGGCTGCCAAGTGGGTGGTCCTATGCCCTCTGAGGCCCACCCATGGCTGCACCCCTGCCCAGTCATGTGAAATCCATAGATTAGGGCCTAATTTATTTATTTCAATTGACTGATTTCCTCTTATGAACTGTAAATCAGTAAAGTCTTTGAAATTGTTGCATTTATATATTTTACAGTATGAATTGGAACTGCATGTCCTTGCTAGAATAAGGCGAACTCCGTATTAATGCCCATGATTTTGGAATGAGATGTTGCACGAGCAGGTGTCCACATACTTTTGGTCATGTAGTGTATCTATGTTTATATATGAACATATGTTTAGTCACATGTTATTTTGGCTTGCAAACTAACTAGAATCTGTAAAATTTGATAATCTCAAATGTAACCATAAAGTGATGCAACCGTACATGATGTTAAATGATGTAAATGATGTTGCAAGTCACGCTCCTGAAGTACATCGTCATCACTACACTACACTGTCTTTGACATTTGTCTGTGTCTGCATCCCTGGCTATAGCAAGTTCTCTCGATGCATCATTTCAGCCGCTGAGAATAATAATATTGGGTCATCCTTTTGTATCCACGAAATAAAGGTATGTCTTTCAGTAAACTATCTGCATGCGTTTTAGCTACATTTCAATCGAATGTGTCTTTTCATTTATCATTGAGAGAACCGTTACTCGTCCTTTCTATTACCGGGTAGTTTGTGCGGAATGATAAAGCCACATGGCACATACGTTTACGTTAATGTTACCGTGTGTGGAGCAGAGAGCTACACAGTATTTGGTTGAATAAATGTGATGGGGACTCGCTTTATGTTTTTGGTGTCTAACTTGCCTAAACGGTTTCAGCGTTTTTATTTTGTTGTGGGTAATGATCTTATTGATACAATTGTGTGTTGCAGTCTCGAATACATTAATGACATTCTGACTGGACTGGGCACGCGCATGTTGATTTTGTCCACCCACACCAGACGCGATCAGGGACACGCAGGTTGAAATATCAAAACGAACTCTGAACCAACTATATTAATTTGGGGACAGGTCGAAAAGCATTAAACATTTATGGCAATTTAGCTAGCTAGTTTACTGTTGCTAGCTAATTTGTCCTGGGATATAAACCTGAAATGCCCATGCTCCTCCGACAATTAATCCACAGATAAAAGGGGAAAGTTCGTTTATAGTAATATCTCCTCCTTCGTGCTTCTTCTTCTTTGGACTCTAGATGGCAGTTGGCAACCAACTTTAAAGTGCATTACCACCACCAACTGGACGGGAGTGTGTACCGCAGTTCATCTTTCAATCACCCACGTGGGTATATGCTCTTGAAAACCAATAGAACCAAATTCTATTTTAGCAACCAACTTTAAGGTGCATTACCACCACCAACTGGACTGGAGTGTGTACCTCAGTTGGTTCTATTTGTGACGCTTGACGTGCTGCAAGTCCCACCTCTCCCATCTCCTCATTGGTTTTTAGGAGCATATACCCAAGTGGGTGATTGAAAGATGAACTGAGGTACACACTCCAGTCCAGTTGGTGGTGGTAATGCACCTTAAAGTTGGTTGCTAAAATAGAACTTGGTTCTATTTGTGACTCTTGATGCGCTGCAAGTCCTGCAGCTCCCATCTCCTCATTGAAAGATGAACTGAGGTACACACTCCAGTCCAGTTGGTGGTGGTAATGCATTTGTGAAGCTTGACGCGCGTGAGCAGTGTGGGTGCAATGATTGAATAACATGTATGTGTACATTTATTTTGCGACGTGAGCAGTGTGGTCAGCATGTAATGATGTCAATGATGCATTATAGCGTGGGGGTTGTTCAATTCTGTCATCAGCTTTCCTACATTTTGATTCAGCACTCAAGCAGCTGTCAATTTGCCAATGCTGTTGTATTAGAGTTTGGAATGCTATGTTGTAAAATCTCACTTACTGCTAAATGATATATGACCCTATATTTGGTATTGGGTCGTGGATTTAATCAAATTTAGCAGTAAGTGAGATTTTACAACAGCTTTCCAAACTCTAATACTACTAGTAATACTACTTCTAATACACAGATTAATACGTTGACATCAATAGTTTTGTAAAAAGTATGATAGTGTGGAATCTTATAGTTTCCTATCTGATTAGCAAAGGTACAATATGTCCAATAGTCCGTTGTATAACCCTTCAAGTTTTTCTTCCTTCTCAGTTGAAAGGTTGTAAAGAACAGTTACTGAAGGGGCACTAGTCTCTAGACCATCTGCTCTGCCTCTTGTTGCATGTATTTATTACCCCCTCTCTCTCCCCCCTCTCTCTCCCCCCTCTCTCTCCCCCCTCTCCCTCTTTCTCTCTTCCCCCTATCTCGCTCTCTATCTCCTTTCTCTCCCCTGCCCTGCTCTCTCACCTCTCCAGCCCCAGGATGTGTGGTATATGGGCTTTGTTTGGCAGTGATGAGTGCCTGTCGGCTCAGTGCACCAGCGCTATGAAGATCGCCCACCGGGGCCCCGATGCCTTTCGCTTTGAGAACATCAACGGCTTCACTAACTGTTGCTTCGGCTTCCATCGACTGGCTATCGTAGACCAGCTGTATGGCATGCAGCCCATCCGCGTCAAGAAGTTCCCCTACCTCTGGCTTGTCTACAACGGAGAGATCTACAACCACCACACTGTAGGTCTAGCCCTCCACATTGTTTCACTGTTTCACAAATCCCAGGCTCAATAGATCTACAAACACCACAGTAGTTATGGCCCATAGACATATAAGGTATGCCTGGAATCCACATTGTGTCACTGTTGTTTCATGTCACAAATCCCAGGCTATGGTAGGAGATCTACAAACCACACAGTAGTTACGGCCCATAGACATATAGTAAGGTATAGCCTGAAATCCAAACTTCTGGACCCCAGGCTACTGTAGGTAAGGAGATGGGACCAGGCCTCAGGGAACTCTAGTATCTGGCCAAGTTTTGGTGTGGAACGTATTCAGTTTCTACTTGCTAGTCACGAAGCAGGGATATACTATGGCTTTAGGCCAGGTAACTCCTCCTTTCTTACTATCTCTATGCCAAAGGGACATACGTGGCCAAAGAAGTTAAGCAAACTTTTGTTCATGTGAGTTTGGGAAAACAGGGACGGAAGAAAGTCATTAATATCTTCAAAGATCATATTGATAAAAATGGCATTAAGTTATTATCTCACATCTTTTGTGCCCTGCATAATTGTTGGATGTGATTGTGCATACACTACTTACAATCCATTGTGATTCAGTGATAAGCATGTATTTATTTGGACAGTGAAGCAAAATCTTTTCATTTATCTCTATACTCCAGCATTTTGGATTTGAGATCAAATGTTTTATATGAGGTGACATACAGAATGTAACTTTTTATTTGAGGGTATTTTCATACATATCTGTTTTACCGTTTAGATAATGAGTGAGAAAGTAACAGAGGCATAAATATCATACCCCCTAAAAATGCTAACCTCCCCTGTTATTTGTAATGGTGAGAGGGTGGCATGTTTTGGGGGCATGATCTTGGTGCATCTGTAACTTTCTCACTCATCATTATTCACGATTCATTACATTTACATTTTAGTCATTTAGCAGACGCTCTTATCCAGAGCGACTTACAGTTAGTGAGTGCATACATTTTCATACTGGCCCCCCGTGGGAAACGAACCCACAACCCTGGCGTTGCAAGCGCCATGCTCTACCAACTGAGCTACAGGGGACATTCATGATTATCTGTAATCATGGTAGCATCCACATAAATGTAGAAGTATTCAGAAACATATTATATTTTTATTTGCAATAAAAGTGACTCCAAAATGACACTGTACATTATTTACTATTTCATTTATATTGGGCACAACATAATCCGAAACACAACCAAAACAAACAGCAAATGCATCCAACAAGTTTGTAGAGTCACAAGCTTGATGTAGTCATTGCGTGCCATGAATATGGGAACAGATACTAAACTTTTGACTAAATGTAATACACTATAAGTGAATTTGTCCAAATACATGGCACCTTCAAATGGGGGGACTAGATACATACAGTGCATTCATTTCCAAACGGTAAAATAGATATACAGTGCCTTGGGGAAGTCTTCAGACCCCTTGACTTTTTCCACATTTTGTTACGTTACAGCCTTATTCTTAAATTGATTAAATCGTTTTTTTCCCTCATCAATCTGCACACAATACCCCACAATGACAAGGCAAAAACAGGTTTTTAGACATTTGTACAAATGTATACAAATTTTAAAACTGAAATATCACATTTACATAAGTATTCAGACCCTTTACTCAGTACTTTGTTGAAGCACCTTTTGCAGCGATTACAGCCTTGAGTCTTCTTGGGTATGACACTACAAGCTTGGCACACCTGTATTTGGGGAGTTTCTCCCATTCCTCTCTGCAAATCCTCAAGTTCTGTCAGGTTGGATGGAGAGCGTTGCTGCGTAGCTATTTTCAGGTCTCTCCAGAGATGTTCGATTGGGTTCAAGTCCGGGCTCTGGCTGGGCCACTCAAGGACATTCAGAGACTTGTCCCGAAGCCACTCCTACGTTGTCTTGGCTGTGTGCTTAGGGTCGTACCCCAGTCTGAGTTCCTGAGCACTCTGGAGCAGGTTTTCATCAAGGATCTCTCTGTATCTTTGCCTCGATCCTGACTAGTCTTCCAGTCCCTGCCGCTGAAAACCATCCCCACAGCATGATGCTGCCACCACCATGCTTCACCGTAAGGATGGTGCCAGGTTTCCTCCAGATGTGACGCTTGGCATTCAGGCCAAAGAGTTCAATCTTGGTTTCATCAGACCAGATAATCTTGTTTCTCATGGTCTGAGAGTCTTTAGGTACCTTTTGGTAAACTCCAAGCGGGCTGTCATGTGCCTTTTACTGAGGAGTGGCTTTTGTCTGGCCACTCTACCATAAAGGCCTGATTGGTGGAGTGCTGCTGAGATGGTTGTCCTTCTGGAAGGTTCTCCCATTTCCACAGAGGAACTCTGAAACTCTGTCAGAGTGACCATCAGGTTCTTGGTCACCTCCCTGACAAAGGCCCTTCTCCCCCGATTGCTCAGTTTGGCTGGGCGGCCAGCTCTAGGAAGAGTCTTGGTGGTTCCAAACTTCTTCCATTTAAGAATGATGGAGGCCACTGTGTTCTTGGGGACCTTCAATGCTGCAGAAATGTTTTGGTACCCTTCCCCAGATCTGTGCCTCGACACAATCCTGTCTCGGAGCTCTACGGACAATTCCTTTGACCTCATGGCTTGGTTTTTGCTCTGACATGCACTGTCAACTGTGGAACCTTATAAAGACAGGTGTGTGCCTTTCCAAATCATGCCCAATGAATTGAATTTACCACAGGTGGACTCCAATCAAGTTGTAGAAACATCTCAAGGATGATCAATGGAAACAGGATGCACCTGAGCTCAATTTTGAGTCTCATAGCAAAGGGTCTGAATACTTATGTAAATAAAGTATTTGTTTTTTATTTTTAATAAATTTGCAAAAAGGTATACAAACCTGTTTTCGCTTTGTCATTATGGGGTATTGTGTGTAGATTGCTGAGGACTTGTTTGTATTTAATCCATTTTAGAATAAGGCTGTAACGTAACAAAATGTGGAAAAAGTCAAGGGGTCTGAATACTTTCCGAAGGCACTGTATGTATGAAAATACCCTCAAATAAAAGGAGACATTCTGTACTGTCGCCTCATATAAAACATTTGATCTCAAATCCAAAATGCTGGAGTATAGATCACAGTGGTATAAAGTACTAATGTGAAAATACTTGAAAGTACTTCCTAAGTAGTTTTTTTTTGGGTATCTGTACTTTACTATTTATATTTTTGACAACTTTTACTTTTACTCCATTACATTCCTAAAGAAAATAATGTACTTTTTACTCCATACATTTTCCCTGACACCCAAAAGTACTTGTTACATTTTGAAGGCTTAGTAGGACAGGAAAATTGTCAAATTCGCGCACTTATTAAGAGAACATCCCTGGTCATCCCTACTGCCTCTGATCTGGCGTACTCACTAAACACAAATTCTTTCTTTGTAAATTATGTCTGAGTGTTGGAGTGTTCCCCTGGCTATCCGTAAATTAAAAAAACAAGACAATTGTGCCCTCTAGTATGCTTAATATGAGGAATTTGAAATGATTTATTATTTTACTCTTGATACTTAAGTTCTGTATATATTTGCAATTGCATTTACTATTGATACTTAAGTATATTTAAAACCAAATAGTTTTAGACTTTTACTCAAGTAGTATTTTACTGGGTGACTTTCACATTTACTTGAGTCATTTTCTATTAAGGTATCTTTACCTTTACTTAAGTATGACAATTGGGTTCTTTTCCCACCACTGATAGAGCCAAATTAAACATTTTTGCTTCACTGTCAAAATAAAAATGTAGGTGAGTGTATGTCATGAGCATGTATGACCACTTGTAATGTCTTATATCTCATAATAATCCTAATACTTTTCTCCATCTTCCTCCCTCTTTAGCTGAAGAATCAGTTTGAGTTTACTGACTACCAGACCAAAGTAGACGGTGAGATCCTTCTTCACCTATACGAGCGCTTCGGCATTCAGAAGATGGCATCCCTATTGGATGGAGTGTTCGCCTTCATCCTCCTGGACACAGCCAATAGGAAGGTGTTCCTGGGGAGGGATACGTATGGCGTGCGGCCCATGTTCAAACTACTGACCGACGACGGCTTCCTGGCTGTGTGCTCTGAGGCTAAAGGTGAGAGGGGACTACTTACTTAATATCTCCTTTGGGGTTGAGCGGTTTTGGTTGCTACACAAGTGGATTAAAGAACAATCCCTATTCAGGATAGGATAGGATGAACTTTAAAGTCACAGAGTGAAGAAAAAAAATCATCTACTCAAGTACAATTTAAGAAAATGTTAAGATGTTGTTACTAGTATGTACTGACAGTGTTACTACACAGGTATGATAACAACAACTTAATGTAAAGTGTTACCATGTTCGTTCTTAAACAGATGTTTTTTGTGTTTGTTCCCAGGTCTGACTGATATCACCCACTCAATGTCCTCACCTCCTAAGATCACTCCGTTCCTCCCAGGACACTTTGAGGTGTTTGACCTGAAGCCCACAGGGAAGGTAGAGTCTGTTCAGATGGACCGCTTCCACTGCTGCACCCAGGAGCCCAACCACGCTGCCTATGACACGGTAGAGAGGCTATCCTCAGGTACACACACCTATCCATAATATTTCCATAACTTCACCATCTTGATTGATGTGGCTATAATGTGAGTCAAGGTCATTATGTAACAGTGCCACTACCTATAGCTAGCTATCTGTGAAAGGTGACAAATGTTGTTTGACACCTAAGATGAGGGGAGGAATGGCTCACTGATTATTGTTTCAGGATGCACGTCTTTGGTATTGAGGGTATTGCCATGAATGAAGCCTGTTGTCCAACTGAAATCATTATAGTCACTGACAATAGGAGTTGGATGTGTAGTATGTTAGAGTTGATTTGCTGGTCTTTAACCATTCAGTTGACTGGTCCCTGTGTTATGACAGTAAGATCTCTTGCTGTCCCCGGTAGGTTTTGTCCCAGAGACAGTGAAGAGCAACATCCGGTCTTTGTTTGAGAACGCTGTCCGGAAACGCCTCATGGCCCACAGGAGGATTGGATGTCTTCTCTCAGGTACAAATAATGATTATTACAGAGTATCTTTGCTTCTTTGTGTAGTGTCACACGTGAAAGCTTGTGGCTTGAGTAAGTAATGCTTGAGGTCTGTTACTTGTTGTTTTCACTTATGCTTGTCTGCGCAAATACATCAATGAAAATACATTCATATTATCATTACACCATAGGTCAAATTAAACGTGTGATAAGCTAGTAAATGATGTATATGACTGTTATTATATATTTCTGCCAGGTGGTCTGGACTCCAGTCTGGTGGCAGCTACGCTGGTCAAACTGGCCAAAGAAGAGAAGTTGAAATACCCCATCCAGACCTTCGCTATCGGGGCTGAAGACAGCCCAGACATCCTGGCTGCTCGCAAGGTGAGTGAGGCTCTCTCCATCCTCCATAGAGAGACTCTGCATTATAATAATGATGATGATATTGTTATGGAACGGGCTGGGTAGGTTAGGTCTTAGGAGCATGATTAGACACTACCACTTCCAGGGGGTAGCAGCAACCGGGTCCAGGTGCTCTGTCAAGCCTTGATGAAGCCCACAGGTGCAGGCAATCAGGTTGAGCGTGAATCCTTCAGAGAGAGGTGGGCATAGAGCCTTTCGGCCTGCCAGTCTTTGTTTTTTTGTTTTAGTTAACCTTTTTAGTTTTGGAGCGGTCTTTTGACGTTTATTTTTGTAAATATGTATTTTGGTCACCCTTTTCAACAACAAACAATACTCTGCTTGGGCTAGCCGACCCATAGGAGTCAGGACGGAGCTGGCCCTGGATCCGGGTAAATTTGCTGTCTCCTGGGCACATGTACATACAGCACGGTCCTCATACGCTGATTTCTCACGTAGTTGCACATCTTAAATCAGGTTACAGACCAGTTAACTAGGCCTAAGACTCCTATACTTAGCTAGTGCAACAATATTAGCAGGCTAGTCATTTGGTTTTGTAACAATATAACTTCATAATCAGTAATAATCCAACTTTATTTTACCCAATACATTACAGCTCACAGGGCATTACAAATGAGCATTTAAAAGAATAAAAACACAACATAATAGAATAGAATAATACAAATATAATGCTAAAGACTCCTTTGTTAAGCAGCCTGTGAAGTCATTGTTCCCTGTAATTGTAAAAGAGTATGTGTTCTCAATAAGTTGAAGGCAATAAATAGATACAACGTGAAGGAATGTCTTGGTGAATGTCTTGTGTTGTTCCAGGTGGCGTCCTACATCGGCAGTGAGCACCACGAGGTGAACTTCACTCCTGAGGAGGGTCTCAAAGCCGTGGAGGAGGTCATCTTTCACCTAGAGACCTATGACATCACCACCATACGCGCCTCTGTCGGTGAGAGAGTACACTGTCCCATCTTAGATCGGCCTAGACCTCCAAACATCAAGCAGAAGTGGTAACCCATTGAAGCTGAATTAATAGGCTATGAGGATGACGCATTTGTGAAATACCTAGACACTAGACAGCTTTTTTGTACCTTCTCAATGTGCCCACTGACCTGGACAAAGGGAGTCTGGCCAGGCTGCATTCCTTTTCCTCCTGATTGGCTGGTTTGAATCCCAGTGGAATCCTGGGAGATTAGTGAGTGTGGCCTGTAAAAGCCTGTCAATAGAGAGAAGCTATCAGCCAGACCTGGGCCAAATATGTGGATGAAATACGTGATTCAGTTCGCCTGGTACAATGGAATAGTCCCAAAAGTACGAACTTGAAGTAAAGACCAAAGTTCATGTGATGATCGGTTTACTTTCATTTACTTTTTTCAGCCAAATACAGATGGTTTTATTTGCCTCTAGATGGCGCAATAACCTTTTATAAGAAATGTATATTTGGCAAGGGAGTACTTCAACTCAATTCTGTTTCCAATCATCTTTTCTCATTCTACAGGCATGTACCTAGTGTCAAAGTACATCCGTGAGAAGACTGACAGTGTGGTGATCTTCTCTGGGGAAGGCGCTGATGAGCTGACACAAGGATACATCTACTTCCACAAGGTACTGTTAGTCTGTTCCACATCAGAGATGTCATTCTCTCCCACTCACCAATGTTCATGTACCAGACAGGGTTGTGGTGAATGCAGTAGTCAATTCAGGAAGTGAAAATCTATAGGACATTCCTGGTTTGACTTAATTGAAAATGGAATTGAACCCAACCCTGGAACCAGTTGTTATGTCTGGGAATATGACTGAGTTTTTGTGTTTCCTGTTCCAGGCTCCCACTCCCAAGGCGGCAGCAGAGGACAGTGTTCGTCTGATGAAGGAGCTGTACCTGTTTGACGTGCTAAGAGCAGACCGCACCACCGCTGCACACGGGTAGGGGCATCAACCTATCTTTCAATACATTCATTCATTTTTACATCCATTCCTCAAACTTTTCAGACCACTATCTGCTCTTCTTTCTTTCTTTCTATCTTTCTTTCTTTCTTTCTTTCTTTCTTTCTTTCTTTCTTTCTTTCTTTCTTTCTTTCTTTCTTTCTTTCTTTCTTTCTTTCTTTCTTTCTTTCTTTCTTTTGAGAAGCTATAGGTTCAATACAGAAGATCTAGGATTTAAAGATGGCATCTAACTGACTTTCCTCTTCTCTCTACAGTCTGGAGCTGAGAGTGCCTTTCCTGGACCACAGGTTCACAGCGTACTACCTCTCCCTGCCTGAGGAGATGAGGCAACCTAAGGTCAGTCTTCTCAGCCCTATCACTATATCCTCACTATCCCAATCTACCTATCCCCTACATTTGGCTCTGATGAGATGGTGGAGTATGAAATCGGAAGTAATGTATTATTGCAAAAGTGGAAAATATGTGGATTGAGTGATTGTTGTAAGTGTTGTGTATCCAAATCAGAGTCCTTGCGGCAAAAATCAGTCTCTAAACATGTAAAGGATTCCAGTGCTATAATTCCAAACAGTTCAGTTTCACTGAGGGATGTGTGTGTAACCAGGATGGAGTGGAGAAGCACCTCCTCAGAGACTCGTTTAAAGGTCTGAACCTGATCCCAGACGAGATCCTATGGAGACGTAAAGAGGCCTTCAGTGACGGAATGACGTCTGTCAAGAAGTCCTGGTACAACAGCCTGCAGGACCAGATGGAGTCTGAGGTACACATTCACACAGTCAGACACACAGCAGGCACGCACATACACACACCGGCACGCTGGCACGCTGGCACATCACATATACGCACACACACATTCTGACTCCTTCTTTCTCTCCTCCAAGGTGAACGACTTCCAGCTGGAGAAGGCTCCTAAAACGTTCCCGTTCCTCCCTCCCAGAACCAAAGAGGCGTACTTCTACCGCCAGGTGTTTGAGAAGCAGTTCCCGGGCCAGGCCGAGTGGCTCAGCCACTACTGGATGCCCCGCTGGATCAATGCTACAGACCCCTCAGCCAGAACCCTCTCCATCTACAAGCCTGACAAGGACCAGTGATACAGCAACAACAGTGGCTCTTTTCCAATATCCTCACTAGCGTAGCACTTAGAATGAAGCAGTCTATTGAGCATGCATGCATTCTAAGTAGTATGCTAGTATGGATATTGAAATGTAGACCGTGTCAGCTGTCTGTCACTTCTGTCACCATTACTACACCTCCCCTTCACAACATACCTATCTGGAAACTGTCTGTTGCTATAGTTGTGACGATTATGGAATTTTAGGTAACGATTAGGCTTACTTGTCATGCAAATGGCCACGGTTATTGTCATAATTGTCATTTTTGTTAAACATTTTTTGACCTTGTAGTGCTTCATAATGCATCTTTAGCTACGACATACCTAATTAGCTAGGACATACCTAATGAATAGAACACAGCTTTGGTGACATCCCTGTCTCAAAAACGAATTGAATTGACCACTTGGAACTTTTGGAAATTAAGCTTCTCCTCCCAACTGTGCCGTTCTGCTCGTAAAATGATTACCAGATTTACCCACTTCATGTAAAAATATAAAACTGCTATTGGGTAAACTATGTCTACTTGAATATAAAGTTGAATCCCCCATTCTCCTGAAACTTGAATATAAAGTTGAATCCCCGTTTTCCTAAAATGAATGTATTAAGACTATAAGACAATTTTTTTGTTCACGGTTATTGACCATAATTGTCGGTTACACGATTATGCGATAATTATGCCAGCTCTATGCAGGAATCATCAAGCTCTAGTACTTGGGACCAGTGTTAATTACAGTTACAGGGTCAGTACTGATTTGGGAAACTGCTGTTTCACTAGGAATAGTTGATAATGTTGGAAGACTGGAAAGATGCTGAAGGCCTCTAACTGGGATTCAGTAGCACTACTATAATGCTTTCATAGATTAGAGTACCATACCGATACATGGTGATTACATAATGCATATTATCATATGTAAATTACATACATATTTTAACAGCTTCAGACATTCGCTAAACCTTAACATGATTTTTAACTGTTCCTAATGAGTGCTGCAGAATTTGCCTTTTCCTATCATTTACATTATTGTGAAGTTAGATGCATACAGTATAACAGGTACTATAAAGATGTGTTTTTTTAATATAGCGTCTTACCCAGAAGTTAGATATAACCGGTACCGCAATAGTATTTTTGCCTCTTACCCAGACAGGAAGCAGGCTGTAAAAGGTTCAATTCCGTGCAAGACGACGACTTGATTATGTCACAGGAGACAATAGACAGGATAGCTATAGGTGTAGATAGACATTCTCCTGTTCTCTTCCCAACCTGATAAAGAGAAGTACCCTAATTCAACTCATGTGTCTTTTAAACATTTTAAATGTCAGAACAGAGTTATGATGAAACTTTTTGATGCTTTGATGCCTTGATCAATCCCCAAAGTTCTCTTTCTTTGAACATTTCTTACTGAAAAGGATAAGGCTCAACATTCGCTCATCATTAAAAACGTATTATTTTATTGAAGCAACTATGAAAAGCTTGACTATTCGGCCTTCATCAGAACATTCATTTGAACATGTCTTACTTTTTACTCCACCCCCCGTTGTTTTAATTTATCATACTATGATAATGGACTATAATCCATAATTCTCACAAACGCTTAAATAAAGTGTGGGTGCATGGTGCATGGTGCATGTGTGTATTTGTATTTTTTATATATATCTATATATTTTTTGATTGAATATTTAAAACATACAATCTACTTGCAGTGAAGCCGCTCAACATCTACATCACATTAGTCATCTAACAGACTCCCATCCAGAGTGACACACAGAAGCAACCAGGGTCAACGCCCTGCTCAAGGGCACGTCGACAGATCTCCCACAAGGTCAAAAACGGGGACCCGAACCAGCGATCCATCAGCTACCGGGCCAAGCTCCCAACCGCCAGGCCACCAGTCCTCCAAGATCCCCCCCACAGTTCCCCAAGAGCTCCCCGAGAAAAACAAAATAATTCCATTCCCCACCGCCAAGACACCCCGTCCCCAATGCACCAACAACCAAAAAAATGAACAGAGAAAAAAGACAAAAGGAAAACAGGAAACAACAATGCAACAAACAAAAGACATCAAGGCATCAGCCTCAGGCAAACAGGCATTAGCTGTAACAACACTGTGTCATTCAAACTTACTGTTTGTTATGTTTTATTTTGACTTTATTTCTTTAAAATGGTATCTTTGACCATCATTCTATCCCCTGCCCAGCAACTCCACTCCCACATCCCAACCCTCAGCCCATCCCAACCCTCAGCCCATCCCACCTATCTCTGCTGGCCACCCTCTTCGGATTTCTACGCACCATATGTTTTTTTATTTAGCAGACGCTCTTATCCAGAGCAACACTCAGGAGCAATTAGGGTTAAGTGCCTTGTTCAAGGGCACATCAACAGATTTCTCACCTAGTCGGCTCGGGGATTAGAACCAGCGACCTTTTGGTTACTGGCACAACGCTCTTAACCACTAAGCTACCTGCCGCCCCAGATATATCTTTCAACTATGCTGTGATGTTTAACATACAATTTAAATCTATCTAATCGAATAGAATCCACAGATTGCGAGTTGAAGATAAATACTTTTACTAAGAGTATTAGTATATTAGTAATTGACTGACCCAGTCTCTCCAGATCTCCCAACAGTACTATTTCTAGGGTCAATTGTAGATCAATGTTATGCATTTTCAGCCATTCCTGAACCTGAGACCAGAAACAGGCTACCTTAGGGCAATACCAAAATAAATGGTCTATTGATTCTGTATCCTCACAACAAAATATGCAGAGCTTCGATGATTGTATGCCCCAAATATTAAAAATGTTGGTGGCAAGAATTCTATATAATAATTTTAGCTGAAAAGCACGGTCTTGAATCTTGCGTCGTTTTATATATCAACTCATACACCGGTGTACCATGGAATCGAATCGGTACATCAAAAATCTCTTCCCAACTATTTTGCAATCTGTATGGCACAGCTGTCAACATCCTGGTCCTCAAATGAAACTGGTATACTTTCCTATTTATGCTATTTTTATTCCTCCGCCAGTTTTGATCCTTTATATTGGGCATACAGAGTAGTTCCCTACCTCCTCCTGCTCCCACATGCCTCCTCCATTTTTGGGGTAATGCTGTAATCAATTGGTCATGGATGTGTGTATTTGTTTTTGTATTTATGTGTGGGTGCTTGCGTGAGTGTGTCGTTGAGATTTTTTATTTAATTTCAATGTAATTTAACCTTTATTTAACTAGGCAAGTCAGTTAAGAACAATTCTTATACAAAATTAAATATAGGACAAAACACACATCACAAGAGAGACACCACAACACTACATAAAGAGAGACCTAAGACAACAACATAGCATGGCAGCAACACATGACAACACAGCATGGAAGCAACACAACATAACAACATGGTAGCAACACAACATGGTACAAACATTATTGGGCACAGACAACAGCACAAAGGGCAAGAAGGTAGAGACAACAATACATCATGCGAAGCAGCCACAACTGTCAGTAAGAGTGTCCATGATTGAGTCTTTGAATGAAGAGATGGAGATAAAACTGTCCAATTTGAGTATTTTTTGCAGCTCGTTCCAGTCGGTAGCTGCAGCGAACTGAAAAGAGGAGCGACCCAGGGATGTTTGTGCTTTGGGGACGTTTAACAGAATGTGACTGGCAGAACGGGTGTTGTATGTGGAGGATGAGGGATGCAGTAGGTATCTCAGATAGGGGGGAGTGAGGCCTAAGAGGGTTTTATAAATAAGCATTAACCAGTGGGTCTTGCGATGGGTATACAGAGATTTACAGTTTACAGAGGAGTATAGAGTGCAATGGTGTGTCCTATGAGGAGCATTGGTGGCAAATCTGATGGCTGAATGTTAAAGAACATATAGCCGCTCGAGAGCACCCTTACCTGCCGATCTATAAATTACGTCTCCGTAATCTAGCATGAGTAGGATGGTAATCTGAATCAGGGTTAGTTTGGCAGCTGGGGTGAAAGAGGAGCGATTACGATAGAGGAAACCAAGTCTAGATTTAACCTTAGCCTGCAGCTTGGATATGTGCTGAGAGAAGGACAGTGTACCGTCTAGCCATACTCCCAAGTACTTGTATGAGGTGACTACCTCAAGCTCTAAACCCTCAGAGGTAGTAAGCACACCGGTGGGGAGAGGGGTGGGCCATTCTTCTTACTGAACCACATGACCTTTGTTTTGGAGGTGTTCAGAACAAGGTTAAGGGCAGAGAAAGCTTGTTGGACACTAAGAAAGCTTTGTTGTAGAGCATTTAACACAAAATCCGGGGAGGGGCCAGCTGAGTATAAGACTGTATCATCTGCATATAAATGGCTGAGAGAGTTTCCTACTGCCTGAGCTATGTTGTTGATGTAAATTGAGAAGAGAGTGGGGCCTAGGATCGAGCCTTGTTGTACTCCCTTGGTGACAGGCAGTGACTGAGACAGCAGATGTTCTGATTTTATACACTGCACTCTTTGAGAGAGGTAGTTAGCAAACCAGGCCGAAGACCCCTCAGAGACACCAATACTCTTTAGCCGGCCCACAAGAATGGAATGGTCTACCATATCAAAAGCTTTGGCGAAGTCAATAAAAATAGCAGCACAACATTGCTTAGAATCAAGGGCAATGGTGACATCATTTAGGACCTTTAAGGTTGTAGTGACACATCCATAACCTGAGCAGAAACCAGATTGCATACCAGAGAGAATACTATAGACATCAACAAATCCAGTCAGTTGATTATTGACAAGTTTTTCCAACACTTTTGATAAACAGGGCAAAATAGAAATTGGCCTAAAACAGTTAGGATCAGCTTGATCTCACCCTTTAAATAAAGGACGCACCGTGGCTGCCTTCCAAGCAATGGGAACCTCCCCAGAGAGGAGAGGCAGGTTAAAAAGGTCAGAGATAGGCTTGGCGATGATAGGGGCAGCAACCTTAAAGAAGAAAGGGTCTAAACCATCTGACTCAAATGTTTTTTTTGGGTCAGGTTTCAGAAGCTCCTTTAGCACCTCGGACTCAGTGACCGCCTGCAGGGAGAAACTTTGTAGCGGGGGAAAAAGAGGCAGGAGCATCGGGGCTAGTCGCATTAGAAGGGGTGGGAGATGAGGAAATGTTGGACGGGCAAGGAGGCATGGCTGAGTCAAATAGGAATCCTGACTTAATGAAGTGGTGATTAAAGAGCTCAGCCATGTGCTCCTTGTCAGTAACAACCACATCATCAACATTAAGGGACATGGGCAACTGTGAGGAGGAGGGTTTATTCTCCAGGTCTTTCACCGTTTTCCAGAACTTCTTGGGGTTAGACCCACAGAGAGAGAACTGCTCCTTAAAGTAACTAACTTTAGACTTCCGGATAGCCTGAGTGCACTTATTTCTCATTTGCCTGAACGAGAGCCAGTCAGCCTGAGTATGCGGGTGCCGAGCCTTTTCGCCAATGGAATTCTTGAGGTGGAGTAAATCTGCCAGATCACGGTCGAACCAGGGGCTGGACCTGTTTTTAATTCTAATTTCCTTTATGGGGGCGTGTTTGTTAACAATACCACTGAAAATATCAGAAAAGAAGGTCCAATCGTCTTCGACAGAGGGAGTCAAGCTGATTCTAAACCAATGTACAGAGGCCAGGTCATGAAGGAAGGCTTGCTCATTAAAGTTTTTTAGCAAGCGTCTATGACAAATCAGGACAGGTCGTTTCACTGAGCAGCCATTACGAACACAGGCTGTAAAACAGTGATCACTAAGGTCATTACAGAAAACACCAGACTGATACCTATCAGGATTATTTGTGAGGATAACATCAAGGAGAGTAGCCTTTTCATGATGTTTGGAGTCATACCTTGTGGGATTGGTAATAATCTGAGAAAGATTTAGGGTGTACCATTGCTTTAGGACTTGGTCAGATGGTTTAAGCATGTCCCAATTTAGGTCACCTAGCAGGACAAATTCAGACTTAGTGTAAGGGGCCATTAGAGAGTTTAGGGCATTTAGGGTACAGGTCGGTGCTGATGGTGGACGATAACACCCAGCAACAGTCAATAAAGATAACAATACAATACAGAATATCATGCTGGGAACAACATGATTGACTTGAAGATGAAACATACTTGAGACAGGCTGGTATAATGGGTTACATTACATAAGGAAACTACTGAACCCAAAAGACACATGACAGGTTGGACGCTAACCATGGTGCATTGATTGCACTTTGTTTTCTCAACTACGATCCATATAGAGTCTAGACTGATGGAAATGTGTGAAACTATAGCATTAGATGTCTAAAGTGATGTACATAATGCTATGTCTCTGTCTACTGTATTTCATCCTAACTGCTGCTGATATAAAAAGTGCTCCATACCCTTGACAATATCTATCTGACGTGTTATTGTTTTGTTTTTTTGTGTGTGGTCATGATCTTCATGAGTTTGCATTACAATATCCGCACTAGCATACCATTTAAGTAGAAAGCAATATATTGGGAATGCATTCTAAGTAGTATGGGTATCCTAGTATGGATCATATCCACTTATGGTGAGAGGGAGGGGTTGCCCAATTTTACAACTCTGTGTGCTACTTTCTTTGTCCCTCAGAGGGTGCACCACTCCACAATATCTACACCCATTACACAATTCCCTTCCTTTGGTTTCACAGCATATTCCTATCGGTGAAAATAAGAAATTCAAGTTCCACCAATAAAGAAAATAGTTTTAATATATCAAGCCACAATCACACACAAGTATTCTGTCATATCATACCATACATCTTGGTTTTATAAACATGACAGTTTGATTTACAGTCAATTTAAATGAAAGCGTGCCCTGATAAAGCACCAGGTCTGTAGTGTACCAGAGTGTGTCATTTATTTACAGCACAATCAGTTGTGATTAAAACAGTTACGAGGCACTAGACAGTGGGCTTGGCAGTGCAATTTTTTACATACCCTGGGGTAGAGCTTTGCTTTGATGGTCCACGACAACAGTATTCTCTGGAACATATGATATGCTGATGGTACTAATACTGTGACATACATTAAATAACATAATGTTTCTGTAAGGTACGGTAGGAGTACCAGATCACACCGAGGGTGGCAAAATTTCGCAAACTTTCCCAAATGTCCCAGGTTTTCCCATAAATCCTGATCGGAGGATTCTGAAAATGTCTGGTTTACGATTTCCCTTCTGATTTAATCTTACAACCAGGATTTATGGAACAACTGGGAATTTTGGGGAAAACGACCGGAATTTTGTAACCCTATTCAGATCACATCCTGCCCTCCTTTGTGCTCCCTTCTTCCTGGACAAATGAAACTGGCACAGTCAGGTACAGTACAGCTACGAAAACACGATGTGAAAACAGACATTATATTATGGTAACTTACAATAACTTTGACTAACTATACATATTTTGGAGAAAACAAAACTTGGCATCAGACACCCCTTCCACTCTTCTGTAGGAATGACTGGATGAGAAGCGGACCAATAGCAGAGGACTGAGGACAGACCAACCGGTTAGCGGCGCTTGTCGTAGTTCTGTAGTGCGTTCCACTCATATGAATCTATAGTTAAAGAGAAAGTTTGTAAATAACACAGCACAGTTTATTTTCATATTGTCATTGTTAGCACGGTTCCAGCAATTATTGTGGATTTGTAACCAGGCCAGCTAAGAACAGCTTGGTTCGATCAGTAGTGTAAATATGAGGCCCTTACCTGGTTTCTCTTGGCTCCTCTTACCCATCAGTCCAACAAATGAGTTAATTTTATGTCCTGAAAGAGAAGAGAAGAGAGGAGAAAAAGGTGTGTTTCTTCCCGTAACAGCTAATACCATTGACACTGCAATTACAGACAGCGAGTGATGTAGTGACTGGTGTGCAGAACAAAAAGGTGTGAGTTCTTCCAGTAACTGCCTATATTATTTACACCCTAACCCAAAACTTAACCCTAGCCCTAACCTTAACCCTTAACCTTATTCTAAACCTAACCCTAACCATAACCTTAGCAAGCTGTTGCTTATCAACAGATAGTTTGTTGATAGTATGACCATGTGTAGATCATCTATATGGGACTATCCAAATAATGTGTGACCCATAATTGTTGTCAGTGATGCAATGCCTAGTGTATAACCTCGATGGTGAGAGAGTGTGAAGAATATCTACACCCCTCCTACTGATCTCTAGTCTCATGCAAATTGACGGACGGACTCCGTCCCCTTACCCTAGTGACTGAGGGATATAGCGGTGCCCACCCACAGGTTTTGGAAGGAAGGGTTGTGGTTGGAGATTGTTTTTCCTAAGAGGGTGGGGATAGGATGCACGTCCCGAGGGGACATTTGTGTCCCAGACTGACTGTCATCTCTGTCAGCCTCTGTCAATCACACTAATGGAATATAATATAAGGGTGGAGGGAATGGGGATACGGGGGAGGATGTGGGGGAGACGGGGGAGTGTTGGGGTTATAAAACTCCTCGTGAGATCCCTGGGATACCCTTTCTGTCCATACATCCAACATACTCATTCAAATTAAGTGGAGTAAACTCAAATGTGATCAATTGACTTAAATGATTCAATATTCCCATCAGAGATATGGGAATCATGATTATCATAAAGGGGCGATGGCATCATGTGTATCTTCCATTGGTGGTCTAGTTACGAGTCACTTGCAATATTTCTTCTCAGTTTTCCCCCTGGACATCATAAGTGCTTGGCCCCTCCACTGTGTGTTACATACTATATATATTATAATGTATAGATCATATTATATATATATACTGTATAATGTATATATTATATTATACAGTTTGTGTAAATGGAAGGGTGAGATGCTCGGGTCCATCTTTCCATCATCAGCGTAACCAATCTAATTTAACGCCTAAATGTCCTTGGGGCATTGATCGAAGCACTCGCTCTCTTCCTCTCTCTCCCCCTTTCTCTCCCTCCCTCTCTCTCTCCATGTCTCTCCTTCACTCTCTCTCCACATCTCTCTTTCTCTCTCCTTCTATCTCCCACCCTCACTCACTTTCTCTCTCTCTCCTTGCCGCTAATGAGTGATGTACAGTCATGCCTGCATCAAGGCTTCGGCAAAACGTTGGTCTACACCAGATACATGTATTTATGATGCACTTGATGCCTCCGCTGTGTGGGGGAGTCATTTAGGAAATGCCTCAATGACTGAACAGAGGGGAGACAGCGAGGGGTCTTCATGGCAGAATTAAGTATAGGTATCCTAGCGAGGGAATAGAGGGGTCTTCAAGGCAGAATTAAGACTAGGTATCCTAGCGAGGGAATAGAGGGGTCTTCAAGGCAGAATTAAGACTAGGTATCCTAGCGAGAGAATAGAGGGGTCTTCAAGGCAGAATTAAGACTAGGTATCCTAGCGAGGGAATAGAGGGGTCTTCAAGGCAGAATTAAGACTAGGTATCCTAGCGAGGGAATAGAGGGGTCTTCAAGGCAGAATTAAGACTAGGTATCCTAGCGAGGGAATAGAGGGGTCTTCAAGGCAGAATTAAGACTACCACCTACTGCATCCTAAAATCCCGTCAAACGACCTGTTAGCTGTGTGGGTTGTGATTTAATGAAAACATTTGACAGGTCTCTCTCTATCTCTCTCTTTCTCGCTCTACTTTTATTTACCATTTTCCAAAAATAAATATCATTATTCAACCCCTGCATTTTGTTGTTTTTTACTGCTGGGCAACATTTGGTGTGTGTTCTCCCTCCCATGCATGGTAATGAGGACCTGTTGGCCTATGGCACTTGATATGTGACACCAGCCTGTCTTCTCCCTCACCCCCTCTCACCCCTCTTCTCACCCCACCTATCACACCCTGTCACCCCTCTGGTTAGCATAACTCCTCTCACCCACATAGGAGTACTGGTGAAGGACCTATGGCATCCCTTATCCCTCCTACTCATGGAGTTAACGTCATCAAGCTTCATCACTTGTCACATGGTCCACCTGACCCAATGTGCAAATAATGCCATCATCACCTGGGTTGATCTCATAATAGATTTTCCCCAACATTGCGAAATGGTCTGATTGGCTACACCTGCCTGCCTACACACTGTCCACATGGTCCTTTCCCCTTTGTAACACAATGTCAGAAAAACGAATTATAACTAAATCATGGCTTAATTTTTCAGAATGCATGGACAATTGGCAACATTTTCTGGGAAATGTTCTCCAAGATAAATGAAAAATATGAATTAATGAATTAATTATATGTTTTTCACTTACTTTTTCGGGTTATCTGTGGATTTGCTGTTGGAATAAGGGGGGGGGGGGACTTCAATCAATGTAGGCCTATAATTATCTAATTTATGAATTTATGAATAAGCTAAAAACGTGCGTAAAGATATTGATATACAGTATGTAATTAATAAGCGCATTAATAATGCATATAAATAATGTCATTCCATTTAATTTCAATAAACGGGAAAGTGCCTTATAGAGCGTGAAGGGTGAGGACAGGGCGATGCGCGAGGAAGCACAGTCTTACCGGAGGAGCGTTTCCCCATCAGGCCAAAGAACTGATGCGGCCGCGGTTTCCGTGTCATTCTCCGCAGTATCTCTCCGAATGGGTCAGATGACAGCCACTCGTCCTGCACGAAGGAGAAAATCTAATTAACGGAACATTAGACACCAGAGTAGGGAATAGGATGAGGGAGGGGGAGACTGACTCCCTTATAGCCTACCAACCTGTACCTCTGCGTTAAATATTGTACACTTTTATGGCACTAGATCTAATCTCGCAGAGCAATCAATATAAAACAGTAAAGACACCCCGTGTGAACTTTCATATCCGATCCTATTTTTATCTGACGGGGTAGCCTACAGGTCAGCATTAGTCTAAGCAGTGGCCCAACGGCTGCTAATGGCTAATGCACCACGCGCATTAAAGTACCCATCAATTATCCAAGACATCCCAGGTCCGTTGGTTCCTTCCTTATTGTATAGCCCACCCGCCTTGTTAAAACGCTCTGCGTAACCTGCTGAATGTTCCCAAATCGACTGCAGATTATGAGAAATAAACCCCAAGAGCCACGCCCGGAGACTTGGCAGGCGCCCAACCCGCAATGTCAAAGGGAGAACGTGCGCTACATGTGAATAGAGCTTCAGTCTGGGACTAAGGTAATGATGGAAGCACACTTAGCTCAGAGCTCATACTTTATGCCCATTGAATCATAACAAATATTTCACCCGACATAGAATTTGTATTGCGGGTAGAATGATTGATGTTTTGTCTCTATACATGCGTAATTACGCATGACCAAACTCTCCAAACAGGTGAATTATTTTATAAAAGCACACAAATATTTTAGATTTATTTTATTTGATAGAAATTGGTTGAAATTCCATTCAATAATTTTGGTGATACAAAACACAAGGCTGTGCCATCAAATTAAACATTATTTTCCCCATAGTTAAGCAATCATACATTTTTCCATGTCACATTTTTTGAATTCGTTTAATAGGCGATTCTAACCAACAAATTAGGCCAAACATATTTTTATTGTTTTACATTAAATCATTAAATCATGCCTACCGTAATTTGATCGTTCATCCAATAATCAAGATCTTCTTCTGGACCAATTTCTTCACAAAAAACTTGGGCGATAGCAAGAAAAGCTATTACAAGCGGTAGAAGTAATTTCATGATGCAGCTATCTGTTGCGTGTAATTCTTCAGCCGTAAAAGTCTTCTTTCTTCGTTTGTTTCGATTTTCAAAAGTAGAAATAGGCTGTTGGAGCACTTGTAAACTGAGTTTAAATGTTTTTTAACCACTCTCTATGACTCGATGTTGACACCTGTGGAAATTGGTATCTTCTCCTCTCCAAATAAGTGCCTCAAGCGTGCGCAAAAAAATTATATGTTCCCTCCTTGGTTGCGACCTCGCCTCAGTTCTATCTCTGCTCTAGTCGGCGAGCTCTGCCGCTCTTTAGTACCTTCACTTTGGTCCTGTTGTGTCTTTGTGACCACGCTGTAGTACTGCACTAGGTTATATAGCAAGGGATAGAAGGCAGGTATCTCATTCGCTTTATATCAATTAAGCAAGTACATGTACTTGACAGGTGCTTCCTCGGAGCTGTGTGATGACTAACATCCGTTGTGGTATTTTGCATATGGTTAATATTACTTTCAAACGTTCCCCTATGACCCTCCTCTGCTTATTGTTCCTGTTGTAATCGGAATGTCCAAGTGAAGCGAATGAAGTAAGAGAGTCTGATGACGCACTGAAGTAGAAGGTTTCTACATAATTCTTTAAGACCTGTCCTACCCCAAAGCCACAAATTAATAATAAAAATAAAGTTGATTTGCGTCTTACTCATCAGTGGAACATGTTTTTTTTTTTTTTTATGTCCAGAACCTTCACATTGACAATAGTTTGGATTCTGAAAGTCACTTTTCTAAACTTTTCTAAAAATGAATAATTGGAAATTGAATCATTAGAATAGCTAAGCTATCTCACAAGCGGTCTCATCTTTATTCTAATTTCATGTGTTGCATGATGAGAAAGTACAAATGTTTTTCTCTTAGATACAGAATATCATTTGTAGTGACCTTGATCCATAACCATTTAGTCTTTTTTTTCTTCTTTTTTTTCATTTTGAACCCCATAACCCCATAACCCCATAACCCCTTCTCTAAAATCACACAGACAAGGTCCCCCATCACTTATAGGCACTACAGGCTTCTCTCAGAAGTATGTGCTTTCTTCTTTTCTACACAGATATAGGCTATTTGACAATGGTTCAGGACACATAAAGAATTAACAGAAAAACGGAGCAAACTAGAACGCAATTTGGCCCTAAACAGAGAGTACACAGTGGCAGAATACCTGACCACTGTGACAGACCCAAAATGAAGGAAAGCTTTGACTATGTACAGACTCAGTGAGCATAGCCTTGCTATTGAGAAAGGCCGCCGGCCGTAGGCAGACCTGGCTCTCAAGAGAAGACAGGCTATGTGCACACTGCCCACAAAATGAGGTGGAAACTGAGCTGCACTTCCTAACCAAATGTATGACCATTCATTATACCTGAATGGCGCCGGAGAAGATGGCTGCCGTTTTACAGCCCTCTAACCAATTGTACTATTATGTGTGTTTTTCCGCATTATTTGTCATTTATTCTGTATATAATGTTTCTGCCATCGTCTCTTATAACCAAAAAGAGTTTCTGGATATCAGGACAGCGATTACTCACCTCGTATTGGACAAAGATTTTTTCTTCAACAAGTCAGACACAAAGGATATCCTACAGACACCCGACAAGGCCCAAATCCCCGTCATTCGCATGAGAAAGAGACAGAGATAACGTAGACGTAGGTCGGGGTGCCTTGTAAGGATCCGATGGCGAGCGAGTAAACTGCCGCTCCCATCAATCCTATTAGCCAATCTTCAATCATTTGAGAATAGATTGGATGACCTAAGATTACTGTTATCCTACCAACGGGACATTAAAAACTGTAATATCTTATGTTTCACCGAGTCATGGCTGAACGACGACATGGACAACATGCTAGCGGGCTATACGCTACATCGGCAGGATAGAACGGCTGACTCTGGTAAGACAAGGGGTGGCGGTCTGTGTATATTTGTAAACAACAGCTGGTGCACAAAATCAAATACTAAGGAAGTCTCGAGGTTTTGCTCGCCTGAGGTAGAGTATATTATGATAAGCTGTAGACCACACTATTTACCAAGAGAGTTTTCATCTATATTTTTCATAGCTGTCTATTTACCACCACAAACCAATGCTGGCATTAAGATTGCACTGAATGAGATGTATAAGGCCATAAGTGAACATGAAAACGCTCATCCAGAGGCAGCGCTCCTAGTGGCCAGGGGACTTTAATGCAGGGAAACTTAAATCTGTTCGACCTACTTTCTACCAGCATGTTAAATGTGCAACCAGAGGAAAAAAACTCTAGACCACCTTTACTCCACACACAGAGACGCATACAAAGCTCTCCCTCGCCCTCCATTTGGCAAATCTGACCATAACTCTATCCTCCTGATTCCTGCTTATAAGCAAAAACTAAAGCAGGAAGCACCAGTGACTCGGTTAATAAAAAAGTGGTCAGATGACGCAGATGCTAAGCTACAGGACTGTTTTGCTAGCACAGACTGGAACATGTTCCGGGATTCTTCAGATAGCATTGAGGAGTACACCACATCAGTCACTGGCATCATCAATAAGTGCATCGTTGATGTCGTCCCCACAGTGACCGTACGTACATACCCCAACCAGAAGCCATGGATTACAGGCAACATCCGCACTGAGCTAAAGGGTGGAGCTGCCGCTTTCAAGGAGTGGGACTCTAACCCGGACGCTTATAAGAAATCCCGCTATGCCCTCAGACGAACCATCAAACAGGCAAAGAGTCAATACAGGACTAAGATTGAATCGTACTACACCGGCTCTGACGCTTGTCGGATGTGGCAGGGCTCGAAAACTATTACAGACTACAAAGGGAAGCACAGCCGCGAGCTGCCCAGTGACACAAGACTTCCAGACGAGCTAAACCACTTCTATGCTCGCTTCGAGGCAAGCAACACTGAAGCATGCATGAGAGCACCAGCTGTTCCGGATGACTATGTGATCACGCTCTCCGTAGCCGATGTGAGTAAGACTTTTAAGCAGGTCAACATTCACAAGGCCGCAGGGCCAGACGGATTACCAGGACGTGTACTCCGAGCATGTGCTGACCAAATGGCAAGTGTCTTCACTGACATTTTCAACATGTCCCTGACTGAGTCTGTAATACCAACATGTTTCAAGCAGACCACCATAGTCCCCGTGCCCAAGGACACTAAGATAACCTGCCTAAATGACTACCGACCCGTAGCACTGACGTCTGTAGCCATGAAGTGCTTTGAAAGGCTGGTCATGGCTCACATCAACACCATTATCCCAGAAACCCTAGACCCACTCCAATTTGCATACCGCCCCAACAGATCCACAGATGATGCAATCTCTATTGCACTCCACACTGCCCTTTCCCACCTGGACAAGAGGAACATCTACGTGAGAATGCTATTCATTGACTACAGCTCAGCATTCAACACCATAGTGCCCTCAAAGCTCATCACGAAGCTAAGGATCCTGGAACTAAACACCTCCCTCTGCAACTGGATCCTGGACTTCCTGACGGGCCGCCCCAGGTGGTAAGGGTAGGTTACAACACATCTGCCACACTGATCCTCAACACGGGGGCCCCTCAGGGGTGCGTGCTCAGTCCCCTCCTGTACTCCCTGTTCACCCATAACTGCATGGCCAGGCACGACTCCAACACCATCATTAAGTTTGCAGACGACACAACAGTGGTAGGCCTGATCACCGACAACGATGAGACAGCCTATAGGGAGGAGGTCAGAGACCTGGCCGTGTGGTGCCAGGATAACAACCTCTCCCTCAACGTGACCAAGACAAAGGAGATGATTGTGGACTACAGGAAAAAAAAAGAGGACTGAGCACGCCCCCATTCTCATCGACGGGGCTGTAGTGGAACATGTTGAGAGCTTCAAGTTCCTTGGTGTCCACATCACCAACGAACTATCATGGTCCAAACACACCAAGACAGTCATGAAGAGGGCACGACAAAGCCTATTCCCCCTCAGGAGACTGAAAAGATTTGTCATGGGTTCCTCAGATCCTCAAAAAACTCTACAGCTGCACCATCGAGAGCATCCTGACTGGTTGCATCACCGCCTGGTATGGCAACTGCTCGGCCTCCGACCGCAAAGCACTACAGAGGGTAGCGTGTACGGCCCAGTACATCACTGGGGACAAGCTTTCTGCTATCCAGGACCTCTATACCAGGCGGTGTCAGAGGAAGGCCCTCAAAATTATCAAAGACTCCAGCCACCCTAGTCATAGACTGTTCTCTCTGCTACCGCACGGCAAGCGGTACCGGAGTGCCAAGTCTAGGTCCAAAAGACTTCTCAACAGCTTCCAGCCCCAGGCCATAAGACTCCTGAACAGCTAATCATGGCTACCCGGACTATTTGCACTGCCCCCCACCACATATTTTTACGCTGCTGCTACTCTGTTAATTATTTATGCATAGTCACTTTAACTCTACCCACATGTACATATTACTTCAACTACCTCAACTAGCCGGTGCCCCCGCACATTGACTCTGCACCGGTACCCCCCTGTATATATAGCCTCCCTACTGTTATTTTATTTTACTTCTGCTCTTTTTTTCTCAACACTTTGTTGTTTTATTTTACTTTTTTATTAAAAAATAAATGCACTGTTGGTTAAGGGCTGTAAGTAAGCATTTCACTGTAATGTCTGCACCTGTTGTATTCGGCGCATGTGGCCAATACAATTTGATTTGATTTGATTTGATTTGAGACACATATTTGTAGACATCTGGCCCTTCACTGGATACTGTGTTAACAAACCTCCAAACGAGCTTCAATGCCATACTGTAGCTCAGCTGGTAGAGCACGGCGCTTGTAACGCCAAGGTAGTGGGTTCGATCCCCGGGACCACCCATACGCAAAAATGTATGCACGCACGACTGTAAGTCGCTTTGGATAAAAGCGTCTGCTAAATGGCATATTATTATTATACAACACTCCTTCCATGGCCTCCAACTGCTCTTCAACGCTAGTAAAACTAAATGTATGCTCTTCAATCGAAC